TCAATGAACTTCTTCTCATCTTGTAGGTTGATAAAAATTTGTAATTATTAAAAAGATAACTAAAAAGCAGGTGTTTTCAATAAAAATCGATAAAATATTTATCTTATCTTATCTTTTTCAACAATATTTTTGTTTTTGATGGATGCTTCGTAATATATTTTTCACGTGGGAATATAATAAATTAATTTTGATGGTTAAGGTAAAGAACTAAGATCCTAAAATCTTGTAAATAAACTTTAATGAAGACGAGGAACTGTGATGGAAGAAGAGTTTTTCTAAGCCCGCTTTGAGAAAGAAATAGCTCCTTCTATCTTTAAAGACATCTTGAATGGTCAGAAATACCAGTGTGTCTTAGGAAAAAGACTAAGAATGGATTAAGTCGGACTCACAACATAGCTGGGAGAACTCCGGCATATCCTATTCTATTCAGCTAAAGTTAAGGATTGGGCGCTGGGCCAACAACCCGTCCCAATTAAAAATAATCTGTTACGGAACTTAATGCTTTGCCTCAAAATTGTCTCTGCAAACGGAAAATGGATTACTCTTTCAGAACCCAGAATGTGCGATTCTTGGGGCTCCCAAATCATTCATAAAACAGGTTGAAAACTTCAACATTAATCTAGAAGCACACCAGGAAACTGAAACAGGCAACGAGGTAGCAACAAAGTTTGGCATCAATAAAGCATTAAAACAGCAGATTACAAATTTCAAATCCATTAACGAAAGAATACGCGCACTTTGTATAAAGGCAATTTGATGAAGCAATTTTTGACTCACTGCCCTCAAAAGGATACTTAGACACATAGAAGTCTGCAAAGCTGCGAATTTACAAGACTATATCTTTATCAGACCCACGCTCTGCTATGGCAATGAATCGTGAACCTTGTCACAGACGTTAAGAAAAATCATTAATGCAATGTAGAGCGAATACGATACAAACAGAAATAATATCTTTGTGTTGTAGGCTAGTCATGCGTCAGGTGTTTCACATATTTTGTGACATCATTTTGTCAAAAGTCATCATTGCAGTACTGATCCATTCCTTGGACTCTTCTAATGTATTTAGTAATGACAGTACATGAACAACTTGTCAGAGTTATCAGGTTGCCTTGAATGCCAGAAACGATCAGAATGCAATCTTTGAATTGCATAATAAAAACTTGATGAGAAAATGAATTAATTAACTAGTTTCTCTATAATGAAAAAAATTTAGTGTCAATATAGCTACTTTTGTAACAGCTGATCAATTGGAATGTAGCTATATTCCTACGTCACGAGAGTCAAGGTCAAATAACTGTATATTATTTATAATCAAACCATATATAAATTAATGAGAAATTAAGATAATTTTGTTATTACCTTAATAATAACGTTTTAATTCTTATAGTAAAAAAAGATTATAAAAGAAACATTTTCTTGTTTGAACCTTGTTCGATGGTCATCGACTCCTCGCTAACTTTGTGTCCGTGTATTTCTCGATGTGTGTGCGCGTGTTTGTGTGAGTTAGCGGCGGCGTCTCCGCAGGCCTACTTTTGGCCCCCTGAAGTAACGGTTTTCGCCGTACATATGGCTTTACTACGAGAAGCCACGAGGCTCACGTGGCGCATTCGAGATGGTGTCGTGTGTGTGGGCTATTTTCGTTGGGCGGGCGGATTATTTTTGAATCGAGCCGGTCCTGTGGTAAAAAAGTACCGTAAATAAATCCCGAAATGTGTACGATGCGAGACTTTAAAGAAGGTTCACAAAAGACAAAAAAAACATAATTAAAAAAAGAAATTTTTTATAGGAGATAAAATGAGTTGTTGTTTTATGTTTTACTACTTAATAAACACTCGATAATAATTCTCGACAAGATATACTTCCGTATGTTAATTAAATTCGTCTTCATCGATTATTATTACGTGTGTTGGATAAAGATAAATTAAATTTACGCTGCTTAACTGTAAACAAGCGGATTTAACGCTACCAAGTCCTTGATTTACGTAAAGATTTTTTTTTATTTTGTGCCTCTTCAATTAACCCTTAATTCTCAAAATTAAACTCTTTGCATTAATTTTTTTTTTAATTTATTGCGCTGAAATTGAGTTGCCTTGGAAACCGTAAAATAGCCAAAGGCATTATTTCTGAGAGGGCGAAGAAGCATTGTCTACGGTTTCCTTGGATTTGAGGAGTTTTTAATGGGTGCGGCCCCCGGATTGCCACGGAGGTTAAGAGCTCCGGGGGGCGGAGGCCGCTAATGGTTGCCCCATTTTCTGGTTAATTGCTCCCCGGGTTGAACGACGACGGCAACTTGCCGCCAAAGTGCTTTAAACGCATTCAAGAACTAGTAGCTCTTATGAAACGATTTCAAAAATTTATCTCAAACCTAATAAAATCATTATTTAACTAGTAATATAATAGGCATTAATGAATCAATATCCATTTTTATTTTATACATTTTAATATCAGCTTTTTTGATGTTTCGAAGAAATATCACTCACTAATTTTCCCAATCCTTAAAATTACTCAATTAATTATTCAACGATTCGTGTCTCTTGTCATCCATTGCATTGTCTTCGCCGATCGATTTAAAACTACAATCGATGGAACACAAAGGGTTTTACTTAAAATCTCGTCTAATTTTTTTTTGTAATTTGGTTTGAATAGGTGATTTTGTTTAAAATAGTAATGTTACACAATACATCAACTTTTGTTGTTTATCTCCCTGAGCGAATTTAGGTTATCTCTGGACAAACAAAATATAGGCGGATCGGGGCCGAAATTCGATTTAGCGAGACTTGCGCTGGCACGCGCGTGCACGTGCGTCTGGGTTCTATATTCTCGCAGCGGGAATGAGGTCAAAGGTGTATTATTATGGTTTCTACTGTATAATTAAACCGGCTCCGAACCGAAGTTGGTTTAATGCAAAAACTCGCTTGCTGTACATTCTAAATAGTATAACAAATAAATAAGCATTTAGACGAAAATTTACATACCGGGATGAATCAGTAATATTTTTTACATCTTCGTACACCAAATTAAGATACACCAAACAGTTTTTAAGGATCGTCCTCTCAATCTAACAACCATATCCTTGTTGGATATTTATACAATGTTGTACAGGTAATCCGAGTTGATTAAATACGACTTTGCTTATCAAAACACTTTTTCTAGTAATGCAATCATTCATCTATATGTATAGTGAATACCATATCATAGTATCACATAATATTGATTGCAACAGTTCGGCAGTATGCCACCTCGGCTAAACTAATCAACTCAAACTAACGTGCGGCTAAACCGAATGTTTCTAGTTTTAGGTCTAGTGTTGGTTAACTAGTCGGTGATTTTGTTACCTTAACCGTTTACTCAAACGTTACACCAAAGGGTATTGAAAAACCCCGAATAAATGAGTATGAAAAGACACAAAATCTAAACAGCACGAGCGCGCTGCTTAGGATCTTCCCTTTCTTATAAGACGATGGAAAATCCTCGAATTGTTCGTAGTACCAGACATCAAATACGCTTTGGATTTAATATCAATTTTCGTCGTCACACTTTACAATGTGAGAAGAGTTGGAGGCTGAGAACAAGGTTGTGGATGATTGTTGAAAAACTTTCTTCCCTATCTACCGCATTGACTAGAATTATAGTAGAAAGATCAACTATATTTGAGTCACGTAATCAAACTTCATTGTTGCCATGGTCATAATAGCAAGGTACAGTTTGAGAATAGAGCTTATTATAGTATTAGCATACACCAGGATATATTTAAGTTCTAACCTCCATTGCTGAACTAATGGAGAAAGATTTAGTTATGGTGTAATAATATAAAACTCAACCTTGGTCATTAAGCTCAGACAATATTTTCGATCATCCTCTAGCTCTTCCCGGTACAATTCTTGCATCAAGTTCATTTGATAAATCAATACTTTATAAATAATTTAGCTTAATTTCGAACTCTTCCATTTTTTATTACTCCATTGTCGTAAGCATTCCGAAGAAGTATAGATATAGCAGATTGCGCTAAATAGACTTTAGAGATGCGCTCATTTCTAATAGGTCTCGAAAGATATATTAATCTATTAGGTGAACCAACAGGTTTCTCTTTTACTTCCAATTTAGGCTAAATTACATATATTTTTGTTCGCGAGGCGTTATTTGTTGCATTTTCTGTACATCACTTCTGCTAAGATGCTGAGTGAGAAAATTTCTTCCATAATACCATAACAGGCAACCAACTGAAAGTGTGCAAAATGTAAAATAATTAGATAGCATAATTACTAACAAACTAGACAAATCCAGATTCTTTTAAGTTAACCATAATAAAAAAATAAAACGATAAGATACACCCAAAATTTAATTTTAAACATTACATAACATTTTATATCAAAATATCCGCCCATCATGTAATTTTTTATTAATTTACACTTATTATATTAACTATAGAAATTTCTTAAAATCACTTTAAAATCTTACGGAGGGAATACAGAGAAACACGCAACGGACATTATCGTGCTTACGGTCGCCGTTAAAATAGATTCGAAAGGCAAAAGACCTTGTGGATAGAAGCGAAGAAAACGAAATGCGTACAAAGAGGTGTTACACACAAGTACGTATAGTGATTAACGTCTTAAAAAATGAATGTGTACCTAGGAAGATAAAGATTGAGAATTCATTGAATATTTTGTTGAGAACCTCTTTCTCATCACCGTTGTGGCTGTGGTATTTCGAATAATTTTTGGACGGTGTCCAACGTAAAGAGAAACCAGGTTATTTTCGAAAAATTTAATCTCTTAAGATGTCTTTCTCTTTTTAAAGTTGAACGACACCAAAGTTTATTAAAAAATATATAGGTTAAAATTTTTTGACGTTTAAAACGTCATATTTTTAATATGTCAAAATTATCGTGTTTTTTAAATCTTAGGGGTCAATAACCTTAAGATAGTCAGTCGATAATTATAAATAAATCAACAATAAGTACATTATATTTTTTCTTAAAATATTTTTTTTTAATTCACCTGTAGTTCCTTATTGGTGTTATCCTTATGTGTAGCAGCCCTCACAACACCTGATCTCCATCCCCACTCACTGCATCTTCCCAATTTTAACTTTGTAAATCCACTCACTGACAAAAACCGTTTCCCCACAATTTCTTCCCTGTACTTATAAGCCATTATAATAAATTAACTCCTCAAAAACTAATAAAAAAAAAAGTAACCCTTTTATTTCTTTTCGTTTTTCACTTAATCTTCATCTTTCTGATCACTATTTTATTTTAATAAACTTTTTAACACCAACAAAAGTAACAGGGAAAAATTCTGTTAATAGCCGATTTTGGAAAAAAAAATAATAACAATAATTGTGGTGCGTAAAAAAGTAACTTATTCGCGTTTTCCTTTTCACCTTTCGCGTATTATCGTGAAAGGAGCGCTTCAAACGGTATACATTTGCCCGCGACGAGGTCTAACATCTTTCTGAAGTGAAGTTTTGCCCCGTTTAGTTTATCAATAACTCGTTGGTAGCGCCACTTCGCAAAATAACACGAAAAGAGCGGCATCTTACGGGTAATAGCTAAACTTATATAATTGTTTATTTAAATTAATTTTTATTAAATAAATTAAGATTTATTTCATTTTATTACGATTGCAAAAGGTACGATTTTAAAGTATTGCACGTAAAGAAGTGTAAAACACAAAATATACAGGAATCGGTTCTAACCTAACCTATAAATTGAAAGCGATATTAAAAATGAAGAAAAAGGCTTTCGATTAATAATGAAAATTTTCTATTTATATACGAAGTTAAATATATAAGTAAGTCTATGAATTTTATATAATAAATAAATTTATATTTGAATACATTTTATAGGAAACTGTAAAAGGTTGGTAAGATTGATTGATTGACATTTAAAGCTAACTTCGCGTAGTGGGGGAAATAAAAAAAAATGGATAGACGTCTGATTCCTCTCGCAGTAATCGAAACAGAATACGTGTGTTTTGACGGTTGTTTGTGTGATTTTGAACTTGTACAGTGATAGAAGACGAATTAGTTACCCTCCAAGATGATTTCCTCGATCATATCTAGGCTAGTTATGTAAGTTTTTATTTATATTTTTACAAGTCAATCTAATTGCCATTGTCTAAACTCTAAAGACTCTAAATGAGATCTAAAAACTCTTTGTCCACGCGTTGTTTACGCCAATTTAAAAATTAAAACGTTCATTACGCTAGAAATGGGATTTAACTTTGCAAGTTGAAAGTTTGAGCTCCTTTTTTGGAAATATCCTTTTATTTCACCTTGAGTTACTTAAAAAATAACCTCATAATCTGTACACAATCAATAGAGTTTATTAAAACTGAGTAATTCGTTATCAATAGTATAAACATTGGATATAAATAATTTTATTTTGATTTTTAGCCATGTAATTTGGATCAATTAAAAAAACAAAAAAAAAACAATGAAAATTATTAGAGCGTAAATGAAATAAAAAGGCTCACTACGATTTCCGTAAATTTGGCAACGAATTTACGAAATCAAAACAAAAACATGTCGAAAGATAGTGCAATTCGTAAAATGTTGCCATTCCGCGTCGCGGTTTATAAATAAAGTATGGAAATCGTTGCCAAAAGGGCTTAACTTTAAATTTGTGCAACTCGTAATTCGACACTGAACGTGTTGGTAAACGTTTTTATTAAGTACCGTTAGTAACAGTGCCCTAAAATGGTCAGTTCGAAACAGCTACTCCAAGTTAACAACGCTAAAAATAACCTGCATGCAGATGTGAATCTTCTTTGTCACGATGAAGAAAAAAAGAAGGATGAAACGTATTTGTCTTTTAAATAAACAGTTCGAAATGTTGCGAGTCAACTTTATATTTAATATTTTGACAATAAATATGAAGAGGATACATATTTGACAACTAATAAACAGTGAATTTCACTTAAAATGCAATATACAACAATATATTTCCATAGAAACCTACTTACTTTATCCCACATAAAATGCAACATGTCTGAATGTTTCTAGTTCTAGGTCGAATGTTAGTTCTAATAATAGTGGTAGGTAGTGTTATTTAACATAAGATATCACTATGTCGCATATTTTTATTGAACTGAAACTAGAACTAAGACTAGACCTAGAACTAGAAACGTTTGGGTTTAGCCATGCGTCTCTTAAGACGGCTAAACCCGGACAGTGCTAGGTAGCGCTAGATATCGCTAGGTTGTTGTATATTTTTATTGAATAAAACTAGAACTAACACTAGACCTAGAACTAGAACGTTTCGGGTTAGCCGTGCGTTTTTAGATTGCAAATGCTACTAGTTCTAGGTTGAGTGTTAGTTCAATAAAAGATATACAACAACCTGGTGCTGAATAACAGATAAAACTAGAACTAACAATAGACCTAGAACTAGAATCATTCGGGTTTAGCCGTTTAAGGTTGGTGAGATTGATTGATTGACATTTAAAGCTAACTTCGCGCAGTGGGGGAAATAAAAAAAATGGATAGACGTCTAATTCCTCTCGTAGTACTTGAAACAGAATACACGTGTTTTGACGGTTGTTTGTGTGATTTTAAACTTGTACAGTGATAGAAGACGAATTAGTTGCCCTCCAAGATGATTTTCGCGATCATAGCTAGGCTAGTCATGTAAGTTTTTATTTACAATTTTACAAGTCAATCTAATTGCCATTGTCTAGACTCTAAATGAGATGTAAAAACCCTTTGTCCACGCGTTGTTTACGTAATTTTTTAAAATTAAAACGTTCATTACGCTAGAAATGAGATTTAACTTTGCGAGTTGAAAGTTTATGCTCCTTTTTTGGAAATATCCTTTTATTTCACCTTGAGTTACTTAAAAAATAACCTGATAATTTGTACACAATCAATGAAGAGAGTTTATTAAAACTGAAATAATTCGACATTGAACGTGTTGGTAAGCGTTTTTATTAAGTACCGTTAGTAACAGTGCCCTAAAATGGTCAGTTCGAAACGGGTACTCCAAGTTAACAACGCTAAAAATAACCTGCATGCAGATGTGAATCTTCTTTGTCACGATGAAGAAAAAAAGAAGGATAAATACGTGTTTGTCTTTCAAATAACCAGTTAGCAATGTTGCGAGTTAACTTTATATTTATTATTTTGACAATAAATATGAAGAGGATACATATTTGATAACTAATAAACAGTGAATTTCACTTAAAATGCAATATACAATAATATATTTCCATAGAAACCTACTTAATTTAACCCACATAAAATGCAACATGTCTGAATGTTTCTAGTTCTAGGTCGAATGTTAGTTCTTACATTATTTCTTGGAATATGAGTATGAAAATTTCCCAAAATCTTAATAGAAGTTTCCTCTTTCCAATGAACCAACACGATTTGAAAAATAACTTTTAGTTTTTGGAGAAAACAGTATTTGAAGTTTTGAAAAAATTTTCGATGTTGCAATTTTCATCGATAGCTTTCAAAATTCGCTATAAAATTCATTTCTTGAAGGATCCTTGTGGAAATATCGTCAATTATCAATTAAAGTGTCTTCTTTTTAGAGTTGCTTCGTTAGTTAAATCAGCATCAAGAAATTTCTTTTTGTATCTTGGATCCAAATAAGTTGACATATTAAGTATCAGCTTTCTTATTAATTTCATTTTTATTCAAATGTCGCAATAATGTGGCAATGTAGAGGGGTATCATTTCAGAAATGCACCAGAAATTATAACCATAATGGCCGGATATCCGGCCGAAGGGGATTCCAAATATCCGGATTTTCGCAAAATCACTATCCGTTCCATCATTACTGTCAATACTCTTCGTAACCTCTTTGGAGAAGAATGACTTCTTGTTATTAATATTATTTTCAAATTCTTTCTCAAAAATTCTCTAAAGTGCATTAACTGTTTCTCCATCTGTCCTCGGCCCCTAAAATTAGAACTAAACAAGCGTTTAAACCGACGGAAACGTCCCCTCTATAAATACCGCGCGGCGTCGCGACGACTACGTTTCACGTTTTTACTTCTAAGCTCAGTCCGTTACGAATTTCACGGTTTTACTCTTCGATTCTCTGGTTGTTTAAGAAACACTCTCGTCTAACATTCAAATTTTAAATCATTTTAACATCTGTTTTAAATGTCTCAAAGAGAAAAACCTCAAATTCGCATCACCATTTATTGGAATGGTCAAACTATAGTTCTTTATCTTTAATTTCGATGTAAATATGATTAAAAAAATAAGCGACAAGGAAATTGGTAAGATTTGGCTTCTGGTAGTTCTTTTAGTTCAGTTTGAAATGTATTTTGCTTTTATAAAGTTACACGTGCGTAACTTAATTGTCGTTTGGCTTATTGAAGCGTAGGTAGATTTAAAAATACATTTTTTCTTTTAGTTAGAACTCAACAACTATATCAAATATAAATAAAATAAGGAAAACAACGAATATTACGCTCTAAATGCATTTTAATTGCGGTTCGTAATCTTGAAAAAGAATTGGAGTGGAAAGCGCGTTGCAAAATTTAATTTTCTTTCTCGCCTTGCCGTTCGTGTGTCGTGTTTAAAGGCCATTTTGACATAAAAGGAGGTTAAAAAATTGTGTCTGTTTTGTTATAACAAGATATTTATAAATTAATTGAATGTTGTTTTTACTATTTTTACATATTTCATAATGTTTTATCTATATAGGGTGTTTCTTAAAATTCTTTCGGCACTCATTTTGGTGTCTTGAATGTTTTGCAAACAACAAGAACTTAGAAAAATGCGATTAATGTGTATCACAATGAGTCAAATCAATAGAAAATGACTTCAGCTTACTTGATAAAGATTAAATAAATTAGAAAAGTGAATGGGGATGCTTTCCAGAAATTTTAAAGAATTTAGAAAAGTGGGGAAAGCTCCATCAAAATAATTTTAATCGCTTACTGGTATCTCTAGGATACTTTACAAGTATAATTGTATAACAAAAAATGGTTTTGGTGTTTTTTGAACATGTTGAAAATACACCAGAAGATAGAAAGATGCGATTAGTGTGTGTCAAAATGGCACCAATCAATCACTACTCTCTCCAAATCTTCTAAATCCAATTTCTAGCCAATCTTTTCAAGTCATCCTAATTCCAGTTTTCTGCCCAAGATCATATCCTGGTTTGTAACATGGTGAGTTTAAAAGATATCGTGATAAAACAGAAAAGCAGTGAATATCGAAACCATTTTGAAAAGAAAGAAAAATAATGTTCGAGTAATTTATAAATTTCCATTGTATTCATATTTATAACTTTTAAACAATGGATTTATGATTTAATTAAAAAATTGTCATTCTATTTCTTTTAAAAATCGATTTTTTAATTTTGGTTCTTTTTAAAAATGTGTTTATCTAACTCAAAAAAAAATCATTTACGCCGCAAAAAGAAACCTTTTTTCCAAATAAACCTATTTCTCATCTTCGTCCGTTTCCTTCAATCCACTCTCAATGTATTCTTTCCAACATCTCCAGGTTTGAATCTTGAGGAATCCAAGAAGGCGCCTGAATTTTCCCCACCATTCCCAACATTTCCCGGTGGCCCGACCGAATTCCTTTGGGATCCAGAAGACGCTATGCGTCCGAAACGAACAAAACGCGAACTCGATTCGTTAAATTCATTTCACGAAGTGTTGTATTTAAACATCGGTGTTGGATTACAAGTTTTTAATAGGAACCTAAAATTGTTTATAAAAAGTTTTTGGTTTTTTTTTGTTGTTGTCGCCGTTGTTTGTTGGGGGAGAATTGCAAAAATGATGTTGTATCCTCTTTTCAGAATGGTGTTTGGGACCCTTTTCCCGGCTTATTCATCTTACAAGGCTGTGAAGACGAAAAATGTTAAAGAATACGTAAGTTAATTAATTTTTGTTGATAAATATTAATTTGTTTTTGAATTAGGTGAAATGGATGATGTACTGGATAGTTTTCGCTTTATTCACGTGTATCGAAACCGTAACCGATGTGTTCCTCAGCTGGTAAGTGGGCAAAGAGGAATTTTTGGACTCTCGTTTGAATGAGAACGAAAGTCAACGAACTTAGTTTATAATTAAACCTTAAATATGCGTTTGTTTTTTTTAGGTTCCCGTTTTATTATGAAATAAAAATAATTCTCGTTATTTGGCTGTTGTCACCTGCAACTAAAGGGAGTAGTATTTTATACCGGAAGTTCGTCCACCCTATGTTAAGTAGTCGCGAACAGGTTAATTAATTAATTAATTAATTTAAAAATAAATTTTTAATTCAAAATTTAATACAGGAAATCGATGATTATATTAGCAAAGCAAAGGAGCAAAGTTACAAACAAGTTTTGGAGATTGGCTCAAAAGGGATGAGTGCTTTAATGCAAACAGCCCTAAAAGTACGTTTTTTAACTCCAATTTTTTATTTTGCATGATTAATTTTGCATCCTTAACGCTTTTATTTAATTTTTTTTTAATCGAACACAGAACCTAAATCCCACGTCCTTCTTACAAGGTGCACCCTCTGATAGTAATTTAGCCCTGGATAGTAATCGAATTAGGGATGAAATCGATAATAAAACATCGGCGTCGGAAGAAATAACCGAAATGGAGTATGATCGTAGTGACGATGACGACGTTTTCGTCGAGTTACCGAGAGATAACGAGGGAAAAAGCTCAAAAACAAAAAATTCTAAAACTAAAAACGATAAGAAAGAGAGGAAGAAAGCGCCAAATCCGGTGAGGAGGAGTACAAGGAAAATTACCAAGTCTGAGTACAACGACTACAGCGAATAACAACGTTACGAGGTTTATTTTTATTAAAGATAATAAGAGAAGGAATTTTATCCATACAAAAATTTAAACAAAAAAAGAAACAAAAATTTTAAAATATGGTAAAATCGAAAAAAAATGAAACGGTGCGTCGTATTTTATAATTATTATTTTTAATCTGTTGTTCCCTAAGTTTCGTTTAGATTCTACAATTTCAAATTTACTTAAACAAAGAAATATGGTTCGAAAACTTGCAATAATCCTAAATCTTAGTTTCCCCATGTATCTTTTTTATTTATTTATTGAAGTTTGAACAGATATTTGTGCATTTTTATTTTATGGCGTGTTCGTTGAATCTCCACATTTATTTAATATTCATTTTGATTTGGAGATGTTGTGATAACCATGGACGGTAGATTCTAAGAAGACAGGTGCAGCTACTATTTCACACTTTCAATTATTCGGCTAAACCCGAATGTTTCTAGTTCTAGGTTTAGTGTTACACTAGCTAGCACTGTCACTAGAACTAACACTACACCTAGAAGGTCTCTAGGTTTAGTGTTAGTTTTAGTGATACAGTGTTAGTATTAGTTCTACTTTTAGTTGTATTGACTAACATTATACCTAGAGCTGGTAACAAGTAAAACTAGAACCAACACTAGACCTACAACTGGAAAGTTCCAGATTTATTTTAGATAGGTTTTTATTTACCTGTTTTGTATATAGAACATGAATGTAGCAATCCTTTTAGATTCTACCGTCCTTAGTGATAACTAGTTTTATTTAAAACATATTTTAGTATGTAATTCCGTCAATTCAAAGGTTATGAATACATTTCTTAATTTAATTTTTTTTTAATTTAATTTTAATTAATCAAAAAATTCCTATCCTAGCACTAAAATCTAATTAACTATTTTTTTTTCTTATTTCGTAATTCACACAGCAATTTTATTTTTTATTTTAACACCTAACAAGGTAAGTTTAAATCATAAATCTTTTTTATTAACCAAACCAAACCATATTTTTTTATTCTGATTTAGGGCGGTGGCGGTTTGGTTAATCAAATTCGAAAAAGCTACAGTTTGAGCGATTTAAGCGAACAGCGCCACGATCTCCGCGATTACGAAAGCACCGAAGAAACGGATTCTTTGGTTGAGGCGCGTGTGATTCGTCGCCAAAAGCATTCTCCGCGCAGAAATAGCCCGCGAAGACACACAACAACATCGGCGATTTATTTCTCCGAGATTGATGTCCGACATGATGCTTTAGCAACGATACAATCGGTTGAAGATATTAGTTCTGGGTATTCTAGTGGGGAAGTTCTTCATCCCGGACAACCGCCGAAACTTCATGTTCGTGAGGGATTAGTTCGGACTGCTTCTATTGGAGGTGGAACTAAACCTAGACCTACTAGAGTTACTAGGTCAAGTTTAACTACAAAAAAATCTGAGGTAATATAAAATTTTTTTGTTATTAATTTAATATTACTCATTTTTAAGAAGGTATAAAATAATTTGCGATTCTTGATGATATCCCTTTTATTTTGATGAGGTTGTATCCAGAATTCTCGTTTTTAGTCATTGATCTACAACATCGTTCAAACTCATCTTTCACCTACCTCAATCAGTTAACTTTGGTATCACTATGAATGTAATTGAATGTAATTAGTGTTAATGTTATTATATCTTGCTAGATTAACTATTGCCTCAATCAAAATTGTCCTCGGTAACTTTTAAAATCAATCCTTACATTTCATTTTTTATTAGACCTGTCAACGTCAAATTTTTAAAGTTTCTCTTAATATGTTATCAATTTCACAGTAATTTGACTACTCTCGATATTGTAATGCTAAACATTCGGGGTTCCATTAATTGCCTGAATCAAAATTGTCTTCAGTAATTTTTAAAATCGATCCTTACATCTTATATCATTTTTTATTATATCTGTCAATGTCAAATTTTTAAAGTTTTTTTGATGTTACCAACCTCACAGTAATTTGACTACTTTGGATATCGTCTTGATTAACGTTCATGGTTCTAATTGTTGGCTATTTTCATATTAATAATTTATTATTGTATTATTTCTCGCTTCAAAATTGTTTAAAATTATCTGTTATTAAAATCCTGTTGACATTTAGCGCTGTCATTTTGTTAGGTTAGATTTCTTCCCAATATTATTTTATAGGTTAATAATTATTCATTTATACTATATTTTGTTATTATTTTTTTTTGTGGTAAAGTACTTGTTTTAATAAATTATCTTTTAAGCGTTTGTTATAAATAAATAAAGCGTCATTTCTTCATCCATACTGTCAGTTGATGAGAGGTGCCAACCAAAAAAATTTTTTTGCCTATGTTTTGACAGAAATGTTATCAACAAATGCAAATTGTTTTATTTATAATTTTGTTGTGCATTAATTTGTTAAAAAGAAAGACTGTTTCAGTCTGACGAAGAAGAAGAAGTTCCTTTGGTATATTTAAACGATAAGGCTCGTTTCCTGCGAGATTTGCAAAAAACATCATCATCATTTTCAACGGAAGAATTGTCTTCATCATCTTCATCGGGGGAAGAATTTCGCGATTGCTTTGATTCGGATGGTAATGTCACTAGTAAATCCGAAAATAATTTAAATAATAATACTCCCATCCCGATTCAATCATTAAAAAACGAAATAATTAAAAATCGCGGCGGGAAATATCATAAAAAAGTAGCTCCTTCTCCCCCCGTCTCAAAAAGTACAACTTGTGCAGAATTAAACGAAACTTTAAACCCAACCATAAAAGCAACGTTGGTTTTGAAGCCGGGGGTTGTTAAATCTTTGGGTAATGAAGAAACTAAAAACGAGGTGTTTTTAAATTCACCGAATATGCGAAGAAGAAATTCGAATAGCTCTTCGCCGACTACATCGAAATCGAAGTTGGACGCTTCGATATTGAAGTGGAAGAAAAAAATTCATTTTTGGCAGAAAGATGATTCCGATGAGGTTTCCAGATCGTTTTGGTACGATAAAGAACAACAAAAATCAAGAAGCGAAGAAGATTTTACGAAAATTAAGTTCCGAAAAAAGCTTTTGGAGAAGATTAAGCTTTTAAAGGAAGATTAAACTTATAAAAGAAGACTAAGTTTATAAAAGAAGAATTAAAAAATTACAGGCATGGAGATGTTGTGTTTTTGCAAAAAAAAAGCCTAAAAAATAATTAAATAAGCCAAAATTAACTTAATTTTATTGGTTTTAATCTTTTTCTCATATTTTTGTTTAAACTAACCTTTAATATTGCTTAAAAACTTTGTGTGTTTAAAAATGATTGTTTCAAATAATTGTTTGTTGGTGTTTTGATTTTTTCAGGACTCAACCAGCGCTACTTTACCACGGGCTAAGAAAACGAAGAAAAAAACTGTTTAAGATGTGATTAAAAGAAAAGGAGCAAAATAAAACGCGCAATTTGTGTAAAATTCGTTCTTTTTTGTATTGTTTTTTTAGTATTGAGAGAAAATTTAAAGAAATAGGTAAATAAGTATAATGAGAAGAATTAGATGGTTTTTTCGTATAAGTGTTGATTGACATGCATATTTAATTTATTTCTGAGATTTTAAGACTACTGTTGATCGTAGATTATTATTAAAAAAAATGTATTGCATGTATTTTAGTCATTTGTTACCTCCTATTATTATTATTATTAAAGTATTGTAAATTATTAAATTATTATTACTTGAAATTAGACGTAAAATGTCTATAAATATGCCAGTTTTAATGTAAATGAATTCCTAAAATATAAATAAATTCCTTAATAAAATCAACGACTAATTCTGATTTATTTACAATTTGTATTTATACACTTTATTTTGTAGAAACCACGAAATATTAAATAAAAAACTGGGTGGACTCAAAACATGATCTTGATTCATATACTTCTCAACTTCTTGCACAGTCATCTCGACAACTTCTATAATTTCATCTTCGACTCCACCACCCTGTGTCACTTTCATATCATCTGTAACTTCGCAATAATAAGAAGTTTGAATACTTCCTGATGTTCCTACTCCCGATCGATAAGAAGCAACTTTTTTCATGGAATTCGCTTCGACTTTATATCCACATTCTTCTAAAACTTCCTCCGCAGCAATTTCTTCCAATGTCATATTTTTATCCACAATTCCAGCACATAATTCCAAAGTAATCCCTGTTTCCGGGGGATATTTTGTTGTATCGATTGTATTCGTTCGTTCTTTTTCCGGTATTCCACCCAGATAAACGGCTGGTCGAAATTGCTTAACGAAAATTAACACATTCCTTGTTACGTTGTATAATATTATCGCTACACTATCATGCACGGTTAATAAATCCCAAGTTTTTTCTTTTCCATTTTGTGTGTAATACATCGTGAATGGTTTTAAATAGATAGATTTTTGTAGAGGTTTTAATAACACTTCCGTTACCTTATTCATCTTTTCTGAGTATTATTATATACGAAATTTTGAGATTTTACAGTGGAATGTTTTTAGTTACTTTTGACGTTATTTTTGTAAAGCAGTGCTCTCTAGCGTCAATTAATTGCAACACGAGTAATCAAGTTTGACAGTTCTATTAGAATGTTCATAACCTTACTTTGTTATACAGCGTGGTCATAAAACTAAGTTATAAATGTAAGTAATTCCCCTAGAAAATGTTTTTAATTTGATTAAAAAAAAAAAAAAAAAAACGAATAGGATTAACGAGTTTTTAATAACGAGTTAATTAAGAAACATACTTTATTGAATAATACAAATTAAGGTAGTAATAAATCTAACGCAACAAAAAAACTTCCTCGAGAGCAAATTAACTTAAAAAGTGACTACATCGAGCGGTAATAATATTAATTTAAATGAAACCAAACAATCCAGTATTCCAACTAAGTATTTTTCTTTATATTTGTAAGAATATAAGCATTATTTGAAACAATTTTCAATTTTTTTTAATAATTACAGCCTTTATTTATTTCTTATGTTATTTTAACCTCGAAAAAAACCGAATATTGTTTAAAATTTTTAATGGGTATTACATTCTTTTTAGAAGGTCGTGTATAAAGTGTTCGGGCTGTGTTATATCATCTAACAGTCCTGGAATGAATAAAACGAAATGAATTAAAATTATTTTACTTAAAATTCATTATTTCTTACCTGCTACATCACAAAATTCTACAAAAGATGCACAAGGAAGCAATTCATCCATATAAATACCCAATAACCGTTCGGAGGCCTTGAGTAGATGTTCATCGTTATGTCGAATATAATCAGCCAAATTACTAGGCCATTGCTCATCTGTTCCGGAAACATTTTTGAAAAAATTCTTGTATACGCCATCAACAAGACCAAACAACACCAAGTAAGGTTTATACACCAAATAGTCTTCCTCACTTTTATTTGAAACTGTTTTTACCGGCCCAGAAGGATGACAGTGTCTTGCATGAGCCAAAACGATCAAACGCATTAAATGCGTTAATTTATAGCGATTCCACGTCGTTGGTGTGTGAACCAAAAACGACATTGTTAACCAATAAAGCGGCCCTTCAGCATCGTACGAAGATTCAACCCAAGCCTCATCATCAATCGATGACAAATACGACATCAAACTCCCTTCTTCTTTCTTACTTACCCTCGTGGTATTAATTACATAGAGAGCCATATGGATTAAATAAGGTACCATGTGCATGTTACTTTGAGGACCACCACCTCCCGTATCTTCATGAAACGGTTTTTCAAATGCAAATCGAAGCAGCAATAATTTTAAATCGTGTATTGTTGAACTATGGCCGATATCGCGGTAACTCGTACTTTCTTGAAGATAAGAATTGTGTCTAGCTAGGCAACTTGCGAACGCTGATTCGGGAACTTGAGGACCCCACAGAGGGAGGAGACCGTTACATTTTGTATTGGCGTTTTGTAAAGCAGCCGATTCCCATTCATCACGAGTTCTAGCTAATCTATAAAATTAATTAAAATCAAAATAAATTCAAATTAAAATAATTGTAAACAACTAACCTAACAGCACTTGTGTGACAATCAATGTGTACAATATTAAAATGAGTAACCGTATTATACCCAATCGTTTTTCTTGGTTTCGCTTCAAATTCTTCGACGTTACAGCGTTTAGTAAACGTGTAAATCCCCAAAACTTTTGTTGGTTGGTATTTATAACCTTCACGGCAAATACAACAAACCAATCCGGTTTCTTCACCCAATTCTTCCATTTGTTGTAGAATTGTCGATTTTGCTGTTACCTATTAATCAAATTTACATTTTTTAATCAACTATCTTTACAACAAACACATTATAACAAATTCATTCATTCTTTAACGTGTACTATACTATATTTTTTAATATGGAGGAGTGTTTTCAAATTGATGCGCCAAAAAGTAAGTTTTTTTATGTGGGCCCTGGTTTTTATTATGTTTAAACAAGTAAGTAATTAAATTCGTTTACTTCAAAACCTCTCTGGTATTAAAAATCCCGCCAAAAAATTACACTGTGTAAACGTGACTTTTCATTTTACTCCTCCGAATTAAAAAATAGAATATTAATTAAAATAAACTTATTTATACTAACCTGCCCTTTATCGTTAGTTCTCATACCAAGTTGTCCTAATTGTTTTTCTCTCATAGCCATAGCAAGTCTTTTCTTTTCCGCTCTAGTAAATTCCCTAGCTTCTTCAATACAAGTGGCTACAGTTGCGTTAGTACACAAAGCCTCCAATAAATTTTCAGCCAACGATCCAACATGTTCATCAGAAGAAACCTGCTCTAATCTATGTATAATCGGTATCGTATTGGCTGTCGCAACCGCCATTTGAGTGTTTTGATGACAATTCGCCATTCCAGTTAAAATTCTTAATATATATTTTAATGCCGGTTTCGAAATGAACTCTTTCAATTCGTCGCTATCCGTTCGTAAAAGAGTGGGTTTAACGCAAGGCGCGTGCATCGTAATGTACTCCAACGCGTCATTAATGACCCCCATTGAGATGATATAATCTTTGAGTGTATTTCCGATTTCGCGACGATCGATTCCGTTCGTTAACACGCAAAACATTTCGAGTTTTTGTTGATCGTCGGCGGTGTGCTCGATGTCGTATTTGTTAAAATTCAAAATTGGAGTGAAGTGTTCCATAAGAACGCGCATACGATCCGCGTTTCCATAAACTAGAGACGCTAAAACGTGCATTAAGTGCTCTTGAACCGATTGATTGTTTTTTATACTCGGCTGATTTGTATATTTTAATATCGATTGAACGTATTCTGGACCACCAAATGTTTCTGAGAATTTTTCAAATTTATCTAACGATTGACTAGTTGCTTTTGATAGCACAGTTTCCATTATCTAAAAAAAATATTTAATTAAACCACTAAAAACGTATTAACCAGCAATTACTTACATCTAATAATTGTTCAGTTATGGCAAATTGAGTAGAATCACCTTCAGTATCAAGACACAATTGTAAAGTCTTTAAAAAGACGGCCATCGCTCCGAGTTCAGGTTGTGTTAAAACTTCTTGTACACGTACGACCTTAACACTAACTCTAAATAATTTTAATAAAACCTGAAGTAAAGGTTTGGCTCTAACGACGTTTTGTATGGCCCCTAATCGTTTCACCATAATTTGTAAACCTCCGCATTCCGCTAAAATATTAGCCATTTTGTAAACTTCTTCGTTATTAACCGCTGCTTGTGATTTATTGTTTAGAGTTTCGACGAATTCTTCCGTGGCATCTCCAAGAAGGCCTCGCATTCTGTACACGACTCGCATTGATTCGTGCTCGCCCCCTTCGGCGATCCAAACTTTTTTATACACGTCTCTAACCGGTAAATCTAAGCTCATTATTTTGTTGTTGACTAATAATTCCATACCGTTATCGTCTTCTAATAAAGCTACCAATTCGCAATCTTGACATATTTTATTTTTTACATCGCGCATTAAAGGACCTAAACCGGCCTCGAGACTAGAATAAGGATTTCCTAACATACGACCTTGCAAAAAGTCTTCTTGTTGTGGATCTTTTTCTAATGTAAGGAAAAATTCGCCGATATCATTTTCTTCTGGATAAATTATCGAACAAAGACGTTCGAAAATAAATACTGGAGTTAAAATATCTTGTAAACTGTATTTTTCGACGGTTTCCATACAAACGATCATAAACGCTTTGGTTTCTTCTTCTGTACCCGTTGTCATTTCTTCGAGAAGTTCTAATAATTTTTCTTGAGTGTCATCAATTAATCGAGTTCGTTGAACTACTAATCGCCTCAAAGATAAATAACCATTTAAAACTGCCCCAACTAATTTTCCTTTATATTGTCTTCGTATCGCTGAATCATCAAGGAACGAAGATAATAATTCTGTGAGTTGATTTAAAGCGTAACCTTGGGTTAAATCAGAAGTTAATGTTGTTTCTTCTAAATAATGTAATTGTTCGATTTCTTGAGTAATTAAATCGGCTAATGTTAATAAAACGCCGTGTACGGTTAAATATTGTTTCCAAGGTACTTCTTGAATTAAATTTTGATACAATGTTAAAAATTCTGAGGAACTTTCTCCGGCTCCGCTTAACTCTTCCAAAAATTGAGTTAACAATAATAGGACTTTTTCTTTCCTTGAAAAACTACTACAGCAATACTCGAGGATGTTAGAAGTAACTTGTCTAGCTAATCTAGAACTTGGATTAAATAACACAGCTTTTACCCAAGATAAAACGTTAAAGTCGCTAATAGGAGGGGCTTTTCCCGAAACTTTTTCTTTCCATCGCTTGCCATATTTTTCAATTAAATAAAATTCACGAGCTTGTGCTTTTTCTTTTGGAATGGAAATCGCTTCGGTTTTTTCAGGTTTATAACGTTTCCATTTTTTATACGAATTGTTTCCATCCTTTTCCAACCATTTAAAAACGTTTATTCCTACTTGAACGGTATCTACTCTTATAACACTAACCGCAACGTTAGCTTTTTCTTTAGCCTTTTTACTTGTGGTGTTATCGGGTGGTTTAATAATATTGTACCAAATTTTAAGACACGGTAAAATAATTGATTCAATAACAACCGGACTTTGAGTATCTTCGCAAGCTCTCAGGAATAATTCCACCAACAATCTAAATCGCATTTCCCAACAGTTATCTTTTAAATTTAATAATGATGCTAATAAAGCCATTTCGTGACAAATGCTAGAAGCTAAATCCGTTGTGCCTATGTAACTATTCAAACTTAAAGTAATTCGTTCCATGATTAATGAACAAAGTTCTTCGGTTGCTTTTTCATTGTCTTTTGAAAGTACACATAGGAGTTGACGTACGTCTTCTTGTAATTGGGTACTTCCCTTTCTTAGATTATTCCATAATAAATCTTGAATTAATCCTTTCGAACATAATAACTCCCTTGTTTTTGGGTTTAGAGCTAAAGCTCTTAAAAGTGTTAAACAATGTTCGGTGGCGGCTGAAGAACAACCGTAACATCTACTGCTCGATCTACTAATCACCGATAACGGTTGAGTTGTTATATCACTAGGACCGGGTTCTTCAGTTGTTGTGGTTTCTAGTATCGATTCGCTATCTTTATGTCTTCGATCGTAAGCGATTAATTCTTTCCGGGAAACCAAAACACGTTGAATTATTTTGCTTAATTCTTCAAAAGACATTTTACACTCGCTACAATATTGTTGGGCTAACATTTGAATCGTTTTATTTACTTTAATATGAACCAACGATGCTTGAACTGAATTAACAGTTGAGTTGGTATTAACTGAGCTAGAAGATGGTTCATCAAGTTTTCTATCCGATCTTTGTTCGGTTATTTTAACAACTAAAGCTTCTAGATTCGGTTTATTTGCCATTAATTGTTTATAAACTCGATCGGCCTTTTCTAACAACGAGTTTATATTCGAGACCATTTTTTTCCGATCTTCATCCGTTTCTATTGGTTCAACGGCACAACACGGTCTCGCTTGCAATGTAAAATCAAATTTGGCGTATTTACAAAATCCACAGGCGTGGCACAAAAATGGGTCCTTTTCGTCGTAATTAATCGCGCGACATTTATGACATTGGAAAACATTTTCACCACAATTCGAACACACGCCCGGATTTGCAGGAACGGCAGCGCTACATCTTGGACATTGTAAAGTTTCACTAGAAGCTTGTAAATTTTCGTAGAAATCCGCGTATTCAATCATTAAATTACACGCGACTATTGGTAAAGGAAATTCGATTTTTACTTCCGTTTGAGCTGACTGCAAAGAAACTTTTTTTGCTTTGTGCCACAAAGCCGGTTTATTTTTTAGTTCCACCACCGCTTGTACACTTCGGTTATTGTAGTAAATATTAATCGTTCTCACCATTTTGGTGCGCTTTAAATCCGCGATGCGAACGGTAATTTTACTTATTGTGTGACTACTTAAAAGTTTTACTATTTGAGTTGTTGTCGTGAATTTTGAATCTACTTTTACGGAGCTAAGTTTTATCGTTGAAAGGGGCACTTCGGGGTTGTTACATACAAGGCAAGGTTCTGATTCTAAATAATAACCTTCTAACTCGACGTATTGCGACATGTGAGTGTAAAGACTCGCGTTTGGGTGATGCGCTAATAGTTGATTTTGGACTCGTAATACATCTACAGCTTTTTCGACGTATTCAGAGATCTAAAAATTAAAAATAAATAAATTTCGATGTTTATGATTGTTATTTTGTTAATACCTGTTGTGGAGATTCGCTGGATTCGCTAAACTTCAAAGAAAAGTAGCCTAATAAGTCCACAAATTGGGCTGCTTTTCTTCCGTAAGCGGGTAAACAAGGCCATAAACTCCACAATAAATCTAACAAAGTTGATTGTTCGGGACTTTTTGAATTTCTACAAATTAAATTTAATGATTACACTTAAAAAAAACTTTCTAATAATTAATTACTTGTATATAGCGACTATTAATGAGTGTGCTTGCCACCTCACGAGGGTCGAGTTCGTTTCGAGAACAAAAGTTTTTATAAATCGGCGTAAAATGTCGCGGGATACTTGTTTATTAATCTGTTCAACCAAAGCGATACAATTCGATTCTTCAAATAAAGCCTCCGTTGCGGAATCGTCCGATTTTTCTCTTTCCTTCCTGGATGAAGTGCTCGGTTTCGCTGAAGCATCGTTCTTTTTATTGGTATTTGCGGAAGCATTAACAACAATCGCGCAGTTTAAAAGATGGAGGATCGTTGGGGCGACACCTAAACATTAACAAAAATAATTAAAAAATATAAGCTATAATAGCTCATTATATGTGAGTAGAATACTACACTTTGTCCACGACTACTATTGAAATTGATTCCATAAATTTATTTTTTAAAAGAAATTTTTGAATAAAGTTTAAATGTCAATGTGACACAAATTCAATGTTACCAACTGTAACCAACTTCACAACTTGTCAAAATTAAATGTCACTTTTATGAAAATTAATTAATTTATGCTTAAATAATACGAAAAAAAGAATTTGTTTAGGATTTTTTAATGTCAAACCTTTAGAAAGTGCTAAAAAAATAAATTAAATTGACGTTTCTTGAAATTTTGACGTTTCAAATAATTATTGTAATTATATTACCAACTGTAACCAACTTCACAACTTGTCAAAATTAAATGTCACTTTTATGAAACGTCTTATTGATTTAAGCATAAATTAATTAATTTATGCTTAAATCATACCAAAAAAGGAATTTGTTTAGGTTTTTTTAATGTCGTTTCAAATAATTATTACTAGTCTTTCAAGTTTTCACTCTTTGAAAAATGACTACCCTTTTGTTTTAGAAAACTCATTTATAAGGTATATATTATAAGTTATAAGGTAGTTGTGGACAAACATAATTATTTGATCCGGCCCTGATTAAAGTTGATAAATACTAAAACCATGGAAGATTGAATATTTGGTATCTACATGGAATTAATTATGTTCTCGAGATAAAAATGATTTTAATAAAGATGATCAAGCGTTTTTAAAGAAAATGTCATTAACTCAACTCTAACTAACGCTTCTTAAAAAAGTTAGTAAACTAAAATAAACAATGGGAGAAAAAAATTGCACTCTCTAAAGCGTAATATGTACCTTCGTAAGTGGTAGATACATTTATATCACCTATAAAATTATAATTACATTAAAAATAAAACTGAAATAGAAACCTAAAAAATACCTTCATCTAATAAGCAGCTAACTTGAAATAAGAATGGGATCATTTTTTCGTGATGAATACAAAAACTTTGCCAATTTCCGGTTCGATTTAACGCAATTTCGAGGCACATTTTCAGATGTTCGACCAGCTCAACCAATGCATCGTAGGTTAAAGATAAACTATGTTGCATTTCTATCGATGAATTGTATCCGCCTTTTGCACAACACTTTTTAACCGCCTACAAAAATGTATTAATTAATATTTTTTTATTATTAAACCAATCTTCTCATTCTTACCTTCATGTGAGTATTAAGGGCGTGTACATCTCTTAACTGGCGATATTTCTCTTTGTTCCCACAAATGAACAACAACAATTTCCTAACTTGTCTTCGCAAAAACGGGGTTTGCGACGTCATCATGTACTCGCAAAGATATCTATACCAAGATGGATCAAAAGCTGATGTAACCGGTTCAGAAACCTCCGAATGTTTATGAACTTGATACGGTAGTCTTAAAGCCATCTCGGTGAGTAATTGGGGATATGTTTGGAATATATCCGACGCGTGTCCTTTAACAAATTGTCTAAGGAAAAACGGCGTCATATCAGGCGGTGAATGCGGTAAATGTTCTTTCAATAAATTATTTCCAGCTTGTGTTGTTGTTGTATCATCCGAAACCTTTTTCCAATACTCCAAAAGGGATTGAAGTAATTTTAAACAATAATTTATAATATCAGCTTTATGAAGCATAGTCGCCGTTACTTGTGAAATATAAGTAGAATTATCTGTAGGGGCCGGTTTTGTTGTACTTGAACCAGACGTTTTACATCGAGACATTAAAACACCTTAAAAAAAAATAAATTTTAAATTGAATAATTAAAAATAAAATACATTACGCACTTAATAATCTCATAATAACCAATTGAAGCTCACGTTGACTTGTTCGAACGCGCACATTCACCGTTGAAACCATATTTATTTCTAATTCTTGAATAATCGCAGTTAAAAGTGAGTTGAGACAATTTTTATCCCGATCAGAATGAGCATCAAGATCGGTAGTTAATTGCAAAACAACCTTGATTATTAAAAAAATATTCATGTAACATGATTATTTCAAAAAACCACATCATACCTGTAAAAATGGAATAATCCTCACACCATCAACATCATGTAACTTCGGAAGATATTCGATTAATCGTTCAAGAAGTTGAAGACGAAGTACATGAAGTCGTGAACTATTCTCCGGATCGGTTTCGTGATCGACCTCTTGGTTCATTTGATCTGCTTCGGCGATCTGAGAAATACAACAAGGAAAAAAGAATGCGTTAAAATAGTCCGCCGATTGGACTTTGGGGGAAGCACGTCGCGGCCGCGGCCCTCATACCTGATAGTTGGCAGTAGCTAGTGAGCTTGTGTCTGATCGTGAAACTGTGTTAATCACTTCTGGCACATTGTCACCGTAAGCTGAGCTACGACCAGACACATTATGTTCGCCGGTAATGCTCTCTACACCGCTACCACCACTTTCAGAGCCAGCGCTACCACCCTGCAATACCACAAGATGTAAATAACACAAACAAAAAAACGGCACAACAACTATTGCCCTTTTTTTAATACTCCTTTATTATTGGATGCTTCATTTCAATTTATAAAGAAGTAACAAAAAAAAGTTAACTTCTTGTTTTGCAGGTACGGTTTTTAACTATTTTTTTAAATCTTTCTTTTACTTATCAAAGAAATTACAAACCTGTTCCGCTGGTGATGTTCGTAATGTAGATCCATCTGTAGCTGCTGTACTTCCTTCATCATCTGAACCAGCAGCGGAAGCGGTTGTGTCACTAAAATGACCCGCTTCTTGAGCGGGTTGACCTTGTATAGGTTGTAAAGCTGGATTTCCTAACACCTACACAAAAAAGTTAAATAAATAAAAAGTAGTTCAACATTGTCAATGTCGAACATAAAAATTAAGTAAGTATTTATTAATAATTTGTGTATACAAATAAAAGTATGATTTAATTAATTTTTTCAAAATATAAACTTATATACCTGTAATCCATGTTGTCCTTGTTCAGCACTTAACCCATGTTCTTGCAAAGACAAAGCAATAGCTAACTCAACCATCGTTTCATCGTCAGTATCAGGAGGTATATAGAGTACCGGTGGATATCCAGGTCCTCCAGACCCCACCAAAGCTTCTAAATTAGCATTGTGTGCATCAACGGCCGGTTGTAACAAAGCAATAGCTTCAACAGTGTCAAGATCAAAACGAGGGTCCCGTGGAAGTGGTAGTGATTGAGGGGTAGGTCTCGGTTTATCTTCTTCGACTTCTGTTTCTAATTACAACATTTAATAAAATGTTAATTTTTATTTAAATAAACTTACTTGTAGTAGATGGAGATGTACAACGTGGTGGACTCGGAATATAAACTCTTCTCCTTTTGTATTTCGGTTTGAGAACTCTGCAAATCGCTTGTTTCGCGCTAAACGCGATTAACGGATCTTCGCACAATAATAATTGTAAGTAAACCGCAATTGTAATGTTACTATATGTGTCGCAACTATTAAACGCGTGGACAATTTCGACCAAAGCATGAACAACTTGTTCGGTGTGTTTTAATCCGGGGACAACGACGGGTACTAACGATGGATTTTCTGGATTTAATGAATGAAGTAGCCATAAAACGTCCATTAATTGTAAGAGTAAATGTTGATTTTTTCCGGATTTTGAAGTACGAGGTTTACTTTTTAATGGATCGTCGAGAACTACATCTTGAATCGAAGTGTGAGAATCGGCGAACTTTACCAAATTTTGTGGCCGCGAAACGGCGATTCCTCGGACAATTAAAATTAAGCGGAAGTAACTTTCCGCGTCGATATCCGTTTCAATTTTAGCAGGATTTGTATCTAACATGGACGTTAATGTTTGCAAAACGTGTTGTAGTAAAGCTAAATCTTTGTAACTGTGATATAATTGTTTCGTTTGGTGCAATGAGGCGAGAAGTGACTTTGAATAAAGTTGTATACAAATCGGTGTTGGTAAGGTAAGCAAATCGGTGGCTATTTTAATACAACTACTCTTATAATTCATCAAATTTTCTTCGTTTGGAAATAGAGCAAAGGTCCCATCTAAAACTTCCAAGATATTCGTTACCAAACGTTCTAATTTGGTTAACGGTAAAGAATTGGTGTTGTTAGTTTGATCCGTTTCATTCGCAACGTTTGTTGTGGTTGTTGGAGGTGTTGAATTATTTGCGGTGACTGTTTCCTCATTCTCTTCTGGCCAACCAAACATATCCTTAGTTTTTCCGTAAACTTTGATACTATCTATCATGGTTACAGTTTCAACATCTTGCGATGGACCAAATGTAATGGTAATCTTTTTATCTGCTTGTAAACTTTCTTCGCGCGAAAATGGGACATCATACCATCTACTACGGTGAACGGAAATAGTAGTAATTCGCCCAAATACTTCAATAAATGATGGCGCTCTTGTTGGATCTTGACTGCCCACTAAAACTCTAACACCAGTCATAACCATGTTATTATCAGCATTGGTAATTTCGACGGTAAAGCCTAAAGGTTTTGTACAAACAACGTATAATCCGGTTGTGTTTAAACGATGTTTTAGTTGCGAAACATTATATACTTGTAAAAGATCGTTACCACCAATTTCAACGTCGTTCATTGGTTGGCTATGTTCAAAGAAATCCACCGGAAATGTAACAGAACTCGGCGTTTTCCCGGTTTTAACCACCTTTTTCTTTTTCGGTTTCACTGCGCTATTTCCAATCGCTGGTTGAATAGTTGGAGACATCCAAAATCCGGTTTGGTCCATATTAGCCATATAAATTTTCAAACTTCCATCTTCGCACATTAAAATCAACGTGGTTCTTTGTTCGTTAACCGAATTGTGTCTTATAGCAACCATATCCATTATTTTTGATTTTGAAGGTACCACTTTTATTTCATGGATAGCTATCGAGTCAGGGCGCATCATTAAAACCACCGGGGTGTTTGTCGATTGCATTGCGCAGCAAATCAAACCGGGATGATTCGGAATTTCTGTCCACTGACACAAAGGTTGAGGCGTTGGATTTTTACTGCCATTACTCTTTGAAGTCGCAACCGTCGAAAACGGAATTGTTATTGGAAAAATGACGGTTAAACAGTTATTTTTAGGTGTTATAGGCGACACAAAACTTTTTCCTTGCGCGTAACTATAGAATAATAACCCTAAAGTATGGGAATAATAAATGCTCACACCTCCACCAGCTACTTGTCCATTCACATCCGTCACATCTAAATGGAAAACTTCCAAAGTATTTGTTACATAAAACGCTCCGTGAGTAGCCAGGCTTTCCTCATTTAAAGCTTCGTAATAAATATGGCCAGGTGATGACATCAATAAAATATTGTATTCTTTATCTTCATACATAAAAGTGCAATCGCGTATTTTTCCACTTGGTACCAAGAAATAATATTTTGGGCATAAATCGTCTTGTGCCAAATCATAAACCTTTACGAAATCGGCGGTAACTAACGCGAGTTGCGTTTGAGAACCTGGCAACCAAATCGCTTTTATTATAAAATTTCCCGTTTCAAGTTGTGGGTGTAACACCAAATGATCAGAAACGGAACCGTTCGAATTAAAAGTGAGGATGTGACAATCTTTCAGTCCGCATACCGCAAGATAATCTTCGTTACATAAATTACTAGAGAGAGATAGTACCGTAAATGGTATTGGAGCGGAGGCTAAACGAGTTAGCGTTAATTTTCTCATTGAGGAATCCGCTTGTTTTAATAAAGCAGATAGCTGTAAAACGGTTATCTTTCCTTTTTCGTGTGAAACAGCTAAATGCTGACGTTTACCATGCGCAGAATACATGCAGCACATTGCCACTCGCCTTACTATATGAGCCGAGAGAAGTTGTCGGATCGTTTGACCTTGTTCGCCAGCATAACTCATTCTAACATTTTCAAATGCACCTTCTTGCGATCCCAAAGTCGGAACCATCAATTGTTCGTTATAAACGTATTTCTTTTCAACTGAATGCAGTTGTTGTAAAGCTTTTAAAGCTCTTGCATGACAACCAACGGCAGAATTTCGATTACAAAAAGCTTCCACTGAAGGTGTGAACGATTGCACTAAATTCAGTAAAGTTTTAGGCATATTAGAACTTCCAAACGTGGTCATTAAAAATTCTCTCGATCCTTCTATTTGTTTTACCACCGGCGGTGTTTTTCTTTCTTTTTTCAAAACCATTTTATCAATTGGTACCGGGGAGGAAGCTCTTCGTCTTAAAGAACTTGTTAACATGTGTTCTGATGCAAATCCTGTTGTAGCCGCATTATTTGAAGTTGAAGGGCCTTCGTTTGATTGAGGCGATCTTTTCACTAAAGCCTGGCAAGAACCGTCTTCTTTAGCGCCGCAATCGCAAAAGAAATTTCCAAACTTTGCGTAACTTAAATCGTGCCCCTTGTGACAAACTCTCGCGCAAACCGAACATACTCCAACACCATCTAACATTCGACACGTGTGACAATGATACCAGTGCTGATTCATAAATTCTTTTTGCGTGATCGTAAACGTACACAATTTATTACACAAAGAATCTTCATCGGAATCATCTCCGCTATCTTCATCATCGTTTCCTTCTTCCGGCCAATCAACGTCATGTTCCAAAGGGGTTTCCCCCTCCCAAGGTGGACTTACAGCTCGAAATGATGGCGCACCTTGATTCGAAGATAAAGCGTTCACAATATCACTTAAGTATTCAAGAAGACAACACGCTGCTTCTAACATGACTGAGTTCTTTTCCGTTCCTACATCAGCCCCTAAATTATCTACAACTTCTTTTTGAGTTAAACTCTCACAGCATAATTCCAACCAATCGGAAGTAACTGCAACTAAAGTGGCGTGTCCTTTTCCTATTCCCGCATCAGCTAAGGTGGTCATAACAACCATTAAATCTGTAAATCCTGCTCCTTCGATTGTTGGTGAAAGAATAATTGATCCTAATGGAATTAAAGCATTTAAAATTGTAATTGGGACATCTTCGGATAATCCGGTTTGTTTTACGATGAAATTGGTTAATGCTTGTAATAATTGGCTGTTTTCTTGTATTAAAGATTTTTGATCTTCGCTAGGACATGGAGACGCGTTTGAATCTGTTCTTATTACAAAACTTGTGTTATTTTCGGTACTTTTCCCGTTTTCGGTTGCGGTTTCGTTTTTGTTTGTTGGAGCAGCTGTGGCTGTAGGTGTTTGTATATTGGAAGAAGATTCGCTAACGGTCATCGAATTTGTACCGATTATTAAATGTCTTAACCATGTTTGTAAAGTATCGGGTTTCACGTCAGCTAGTTTACTCATACTACCACATAAATAATTCAAACTAGGATCGGTAGAACTTTTTTCAGCTGCTTGATAAAGTTTGTTGAAGAAATGGAGAACTCTTGTACTGTATTGTTGGGACATTTGAGGACTGGACACCGACATTAAAACTTTTACCAAATCTTTATCGCCGGTAAAAAATAATTCCAAAGCTTGTCTTCCAGATGATTTCTCAATAATTTTCTCGTAAAACTTCAAATAGTTGTGTAATAATTTCTCGTTGATTAAATCGTTATAATTATTGGTAAAATTCGTTATTAATTTATAAGTGTTTTCTAAAACGTATAAATAAACCCTCTTTTGATGTTCGTCAGTTTCTAGATCACCAATCATTTTATCTAAAGTTTTTGAAACTGTATCATATAAAAACTCGGTTCTTATATCCATAGTAACCAACACCAATAATTCAATAGCTTTATTTTTTGTATCGGTGTTTTCAATTTTTGGAGCGTGCTGACACAAAAATTTCACCAAACATTGTAAAAGTCTCTTCAAAGATAAATTTATACTAAATGGATTGCTTAATGAAAGCGTTGAAATATGCGTGTCTATGATCTTTAAGATGTAACTTTCAGCTGGAATTGTATCGTTAATAAACGGAGTTGACGTACAATCTTCTAAGGTTACCGCATTCCAACTTTGTAAGACTTTTACAACAGATGATGGTAGTAATGTGTTAAAATCGCTGGTAAGAGTGGATGTTAATGTGTTTTTTGTAGATGCTATCGCTAAAATTTCTTGAATCGATTCATAATCTTGTAGAGTGTACTTCCCTGGTGGATCAGTTTGTTCCACCATATTATTTAATAACGACCATTTCGTAATATACAATATTGACTGGGTTAACCTTAAGACGTGAGGGATCAATTCTTGAACACACGCTCGATTTGCAGCGGTCATCTCGGAAGATTCAGATTCATCTGATAACGCAACTTGTACTTTAGCCAACACAGCATCTAAGATGAATAAGTGCCAAAGCGGTGGTAAAGCATCTTTTGTTAAAGAACCTTTTTTGGTATCCGGAATCAACGTGATAATACAATTTTTAGCCATTGTTACATCATATTTTAACGTCGTAACAGTATCGTGACACGTTTTTAATAATTTATCTGTATGTTGAGTGTAAATACCTTGCTTTACCAAACAATCTTTTAACCAACGACTAAACACTTTATGATTCGTACGCGGTCCCCAAATCAATGAGTGAAGAAGTAAAGGTCCTGCCACTATTGGTTCTCCTAAAGACAATCTTTCGATGTATGGAGTTGATGGTGGTAAAATTTGAAGCAACCTGAATCGCAATTAAAAATATTAATCGTTATAGTTTGTTATTAAAGATCGAAATGTACCTCCAACATATCGTATAACAGTATTGAGTGGCACACATTCCTAGAAATGACATCTTAACAGCAGGTGCTCCTGATGTTACGTGAGTTACATTTAAAATTTCAATTAACCCATCGAGAAGAAGTGGATACCTAATTTTATCAGGCGTTCCCAAAATAAAATTACAAGCCAAACCATCCAATTTCGGCGGATCTTGGTTACGAACTTCAAGACTAGTAACAACATAAAACCGAGGTTTCATTGAAAATTCTTCACTCAAAGCAAATTTACGATGATTTTCTTCTATTTCTTTCCAATGTGTGTACATTCGAGACATGTTATTTTCTTTATCTTTATCTGTATTTAAATTCGTAGCATAAAATAAATTCCATTGAATCTAATCAAAACAAATAAAAATTAATAATTCTCAACAATTATCTTTTTAAATAAACCAACCTGTTCTAAAAGCGTAGCTGGTGCATCATACAAATGTTTCATTATATAATCAAAAAGTAACAACAATCTAGATATGTGCAAAAGTTGTGTATCCCTTAATATATTTTGGGCTACCTCTGAACATCTCAAAATGGCACTAGCTAATAGCAAAAGTACCGATTTCTTTTGCATCAAATTCAATAAATGGAAAAGGTATAATAAAACCTGGGCGTGCTCGACGTTTAAATCTTCATTATCATTATCAACCACAGTTGGAGGATTCATCACACTCTCAATTAATGTATTTACCAATCTATGCCAGATACTTATCACTGAGGCTTCTTTTTCGTTTTGAGGTCTTAATAACAATACCTAAAATAATAAATACAAATACAGTGTAAGCCGGTTATAACGCACCCGGTTATAACGAACGAACGTAATAGTTCCGAAAATGTCTCCATTTAACATAATCTTAATAAATTTGCTTATAACGAACTAATTATTATTGAATTGGTTCCGGTTATAACGAACTGAGCAAAACACCTACAATCAACATTATATTTTTCTCACCTAATTACAAAAGATACTGGATTCTGGCTTGGACGCTACTTTGAAACAATTCTATGGTTAACTTGTGTTATCAGTGTATTGACCGTTTAATAAAATGATCTTCTAAAAGCGTGCGAAAAAAATGTAATCACGATGATGTAGATAAAGCTTTGTTAAAATGGTTTACGCAGAAACGACCAAAATGAAAGTCAGTTCGAAAATTTTAAGCTTAAAAGCAACGGAATTAGGTCAAAAGTTACAAGATGACTTTGAGTGTACTGAAAGTTAGATAGAACGATGTAAATCACGTCTTAAAGTTTGTAGCGGCACAATAGTTGGGCAATCAGCAGCAGTAAATCCAAAAATCGTCGATAACTGGATATCCACAATTTTATCAACAAATAGGAGTAAGATTTTTAATAGTGATGAGACAGGTTTATTTTATAAACTCCTAATAAAACTTTAAAGTTTCAACAAATAATTTCAACAAATCCTCAAATTCAAACCAAAATTACTGACTTTTTTGAATAACTTGTTACCATTACTTTGTGTTTATTGTTGAAATAAATGTGCGTGCTTACAGATTTCTTTTAATTTCCCTTCTTACTTTCCAAATTGTTTAATTTCATTCATTTTAATATTACAAGATTGTAATAAAAAATTGTAATTAAAATAAATTTAATTCATGATTTTTTTAAATTATTGCCCCTTGAAGGTTCATTATATCCAGAGTACATAGTATATATATAATATTTTTAGTTAAATTAAAAAATAAATTATTACTTGCGATAACACAGCCAAAGTTCTTGGGTAAACTTGTAAAGGCCAAGCATGTGGAACATCGGTATTCCATGGTGAAACACCTAAATGATTTAATAAGCTTACTTGAAGCCCTTGTAAACCAGAATGAGTCACTAAATTGTGAGTAAACCTTGTGAGAGCTCCAGAAAATTCGCAATATAATTGGCCTAGGGCAACACCAAAATAACTTGGAATTGTTCCTACAAATAATAATTAATTGTAATAAAAATAATTAATTAGAAAAAAAATGATTTACCAATCTCTGTCCTTGAAGTTTCTCTATCGAGATCGCGAATAATTAACGCCAGAATCGATATTTGATGTTCACCCAAACCAGTTTTAACGTATCTGGTAACATACGAACTTTTCGATCGTAAAAAATGTCTATTCATAAACACAAAAATGTTCGTAGCTAATGTAATAAATCCGCTGGCTTCCCCAGTTTCGGGAACAATGGTGTGAAGTCTTTCTTGGTTAGGTTTAACTTGACCTGTGTTGATTACATTTGTAGTTTTCGGTTCAGGGTTTTCAGGCGGCGCTAATGTTTCTTCGAACCACAATCCCAAAATCGGTTCGCTATCATCATCTTCGTCTGTTGAATTTTCATCGGAACACATAATCATATCTTCATAATAAGTCGTTGAATCACTTTGACTAAAAATATCTCCTTCGGGTGGATGTACTCTTTTTAAGGTACAAGCTTTTCGATAACTGATCAAGGCTATATAAAAAAGTAACTGATTTAGTGGAGCAGCGCCTAATAACCGAGCTATTCTTTGTAAAGCTGAGAATTGACCCATTATTGAAATTGGTGCTGGATCGACTTGCACTACATTTCCAGATGTTCCACACACTTCCAAATTTAAGTCTTCAAACAGTTTTGATAGTAATGATAAGGCTCGTCCAGCCAACGCAACTGAAAGTACACTAAAAGCCTGTTGAAATTTCATATAGCTATAACGGCCGCTTGTACCAGTTTCTCTTAGTGATTTACTTGGACTGCGACCTTTATCATCTCGAAGGTGTGATAACTTTTCAGTTGTAGTTGACGAAACATGGCTTTGTAAACCGGCTATTAACACCCAAGCTCCTGATAATAAATGATTTTGATATACATGTCCTCCTGCCCTGGTTGAATTTTTAATAGTAGTTCCTATATAAGCGAACATATTTAGTGCTTCTTCAACTAAAGTAATTGTTCCGCTATCCTCGTCATCTTTAAATAAAGATTGCGATTGTCCGCTTGGACATTTTGGTGAAACTGCTGAGCACATCGCCAAGACGGAACTAGCACACGATTGGTTTAATGCGCAATATAAAACAGCCATGCCTAAATTACATAATTTATCTAGTTTACTTGGAGTGAGTGGTTCAAGAACGGGCAGATTAATTGCTGATGATGCTAAATTAATATCTGCTAAAGTTGCTGATAAACTATAATAATAAAAATATATGAAAACAAACACTTTCTTTTGTAAATATTAGAGTATCAAACCTATTTCTTATAGATGTAGCTTCAGTGTGAGTCGTTGGAAGAGAAAATGGTTTTCCGGCTAATGTTTCATCGATTTTCACCTTTGCCTTTTTAATACTAGGTAGATTTAAGCACAAATCAGCTAAAGTGTCACCAGCACGTAACGATTGCAACGTTTCACTATTTGCTTTCAACAAAAGCTTCTAAACGTAAACAAGAAAAATGTTATCAAAAACTAAAAAAATTATTTGTTTTTTTAATCATACTGTAATTTCCGTAATTGGATCATTCGTGTTGATTTGATCTCCGCCGGTACTTTGACCACTGCTACTTTGTTCTGAACCATTACTAGTCCCTTCGCGCAAGGGCATCGTTAGCTGCTCAAAAATTGTTATTGATAGATCTGTTCGAGGTTTGGAAGTTTCTTGCTTATTGCTAGCATCTTTTTCGCCTATAGAAAATATGGAAAGCGTTTTAAAATTGTTTTAGGGTTTATTCATCACCAATCTTCATAGTAATGACTTATTCAGCTTGGTTTATTTGAACCAAGTTTTTAAACAAAATAAATTTTTTAGGTTATGTAATTTTTATTTGTACTTACCTGCAGGGGCTGTATTTGTTGGTAAAGTTTCACCTTTCATACTGATTACTAACGTAGATATTTCCGTAGGACTAAAAAAATCTTGTCCAAGACATAAAATTCTTATAGCCTTCAAATATTTTTCAACTAACACATTGTTGTAGTTGCTCTCTGTATTGTTAGTTTGTAGGGCCCCAATCAAGTACTTAAGAAGTACTTGACAGGCAGAGTGGACAACCTCCAATTGACTGGATGAGACTAAAAGTTTCAGTGGCAAGATGACAATCAGATTTTGGTGTTGAAAAAAAAATGATTGCGGAAAACTTACGATTCCGGGCGTTATTAGTAATATAATCGGCGGCGAGGACCGCGAACCAATTGTAAAAGCCCCGTCCCTTGTATCGAAGTATGTCCGATTCGCTGTTAAAGAAAAAAAAAGGCAAGATTTGTCACGTGTGAAAAGTACAATTTTCGTTGTAAAAACGTTAACGGCGGCACGAAACGGTTCCTCAGTTACCTTTTAACAATCGCGAGGCACAGATCCAGCAATTCTAACTTGTCGGAAGCATCGTTATGAGATCCCGAAAACAACTTAATAATCGCCGACCACTGTATACCACCGCTGCTGGCGGCCATTGCATCTGCCATTTGTATTTTTGAGACTACAATGACAGATGATGGTGGAAATTGTTTTTGTTGTGTTGGCATATGATTGGATCTTTTTATTTTGAAAATACTATTTCTCGTTCAAACGCTTTTAAAATTAAAATATTCGCGTCGATTTTTAAGTTACACCGAATTTTGAATGAATTCATTGAATTATTTTATGATAGTAAAAACAGATAAATACACTTCGAACTTCTAGTGGACACACGAAACTGTCAAAATGCACAAGGTAACGACGTCAAAAATTTTTGTTTTGTTTTATTACTTAAAAATTACTCAAAATAATAAAATTAAAAAAAGCAATTTTATATTATAATTATAAAACAATAACACAATAATAAATTTAAGGATCCACACTCAAATTTTATATATTTATCACTACTATGCTGACAAGATTAAAAAAACCCCCACCATCTATGAACAAAAAATTGAACTAAACAAAAAGTCAAAATTATAAAAAAAAAACGGTTAATTATTTATTAATAATTATAATTATATAACTTCAAATATTTACAAGTATTTATTTGTACATTTTACTTTAAGATCAATAATAAGGTCTTCTTGGGTTATTCAGTGGATTTGGTCGAAATCGGTAAGCTAACATCATCCGTTTCCTATATGACTCGTATTCATCATCGTTATTATCAACTTGATCAGGTTGTTCTAATCCTAATCCTTGATTTTGATCCCTCATAACACCTCTTCAAATGTAATTAAAATAAATTTAATTGAATGGTGTCATAAAAAAATTCTTACTTATTTACTGGCTCGACAATTCCAGCTCCACTAGATCCTAAACCTTGCCCTTCTGACCAACCCAGTTTTTGTAACATTTTAAACCCAATGTTATCCTCTTTTAATTTGAACTCTTTATAATCGGATAAACTTGGTTGTCGACCTTCTTTAACCGCAGTGGATTTTTCCATAAATTTTTTCAGCTCTTCAGGGGGAAGAAAATCTCCTATATGATGTTTTCCTTCTGCTTGACGAGTTAGTTCGTTAGCCCATTGTTGAGTGGCCACCATTTCCTAAAATATTATGAAAGAATTTTAATCAAAGTTATTGAAAAATTTGATTTATAACCTTTTCACGTAATCTATGTTCCCAAGTTCCACCTTCAATTTCTTCATCGGAATCATATTCATATTTATTCTTCCCAGCCATTTTCAACCGTTCAACTTCCTGTCTTTTTTTGATCATCTCCTGGTACAAAATGTTAATTTTATAGTGATCTTCAACTTTCCTCCAATCGTCTTCACTTAAATTCGTCGATCCATAAGTAGTCATAGCATATTGGACCAAAGCGGGATCGCTCCTTGTTATTTTTGAAATCAAAACATTTCCAGGACTACTTGTAACAATGGTAGGTGGTGGAATCGACATGTCTTTATCGCCCCATCTACTTTTTCTCTTCCTTTTCGGTCTATCTCCATTTTTATTTCCTCGTTTCTCATCATCATCATCGATTCCATCTTGTTCGTAGGTGTCTTCCGGCTGATAGCTGTTCTCCTCTCGTGCCTCCAACTCCATTTTGAACTGTTCGACGAGTTGTTGGTACTGACGATATGCAGCGGACTCTTTATGGAACAGAAACCTACAACACACGCGTAATGAGACAAGTAAACCGTAGCAGGCACGGGGCGGCCGCGTCGCTCCGGGAGACCACGAGCCCTGCATACCACAGACTGGGGTCTTGTGTTTTACGTTGGCGCACCACGTCCTCTATTCCGGGGCCACACTGTGCTACCATGCGCCCTAGGGACGCCATCGCTTCATAATCAGCTGTACCTGCGGGAAATACTGCACAAAACCGTCACTAGACAACCCCCTGAATTTAAATTTTAAAGAAAATTAAACAGAATTGGCTTGATGTTATAAGATTTATTATAAGAATTTAAAAAAAATTAATTTTGTAAATAATCAAAACAGTTCTGTTAAGAATAATGATTTTAGTAGATTTTGATATAATCAAGTATGGATTTAATTAAAAATTGGATTTATTTTTTATCATCCCTACTTGTATATAGCCTACAAAATCTTTTATGAATTCAATCACCCCATAAGATTATTAACTTTTTAATATATTTGATCCAACCGCATCATCTAAAGGGAAATCCTGTAATAAAAATCCAAAAAGAAAAAATCGTTTTAGTTACCTGCGGTCATATCTCGAAAAGGCATTCCACCAACGATCGTTGTGGCTGGAACCAATGGAATTGCTGTAGGGGGTGGTATATTCATAGGGGGCATCTGTCCGGTCATGGGCGGTGGCGGCTGATTAACAAACGTCGGTGGTGGTGGTGCTTGAATAATAGGACAAGCGGTCGTCGTCAACAACGGCGGTGGACAATTTATATTTATGTTATTAATTGGTGGAGCGATTCCCATTCCAGGTGGTGGAAGCACAGGTTGCGCCATCAACGAGGGAATATTATTAGTTACAGGAGGGGGAGGAGGAACCCCTACAGGAACTTGATTTTGTATCGGCACCGTAACAATATTTTGTATGAGAGTTTGATTTTGTGGAGGAGGTGGAGGTGGAGGAGGCGGCGGAAGTGTTTGTACACTAATTTGATTGGCAATCTGATTAGTAATCTGATTCGTAATTTGATTTGAAATCTGGTTCGAAATTTGATTTGTAATTTGGTTCGAAATTTGATTTGTAATCTGGTTCGAAATTTGATTTGTAATCTGGTTCGAAATTTGATTTGTAATCTGATTCGAAATTTGATTTGTAATCTGACCTGTAATTTGACTTATTTGTGGTGGGATTGTTTGAACCAAAATATTTTGAGGAGGAGGAATAGTAGTGGGTGGAATTACATTTGGTGGTGGTAAACATGTTGGAATGGGAGGAACCTCTGAAGTGGGCGGTGGGACTGTAATATTTAAGCTGATTTCTAAATTAGGTGGTGGAACTGATTTATTTGGAGGTGGAACATTTTTAATAAAATCAGGATCTGAAATGTTCTTCTCTAAACAATCACTTGGTGTTGGGATGTTAACGATATCAAGAGGTTTAGGATTTGGTATTTCATTTAATTGTATTGGAGAAGGCGGTGGGATATTTTGAACTTGAATAGGTGCTGGAGGTGGAATTGTTAAGGCATTTAAAGGATCCGGCTGTGGAATATTATGAACTTGAATTGGATTTGGTGGTGGTATTGATGTTAATTCAATTGGAGGTGGTACGTTAATTACACTTGTTGTTGTAACCGTTTCTTGAATAACAGCTTGATTTGGTGCGGGTGGTGGTAAAGTAACTGTTGTTAAAACGGTTGTTGGTGTAATAATATTAGCTACATTATTAGCTAAAATATCATTTGCTGTTGGAACAACAATTGATGATATTGTGTTCTGCACAATTTGAGGTGGTGGCATATTTAATAAAACAGGTGGTGCTGTTATAACCGTTTCCGTTCCAGAATTAGTATATATACTAGGTGGAGGCACTAAATTCTTTAACAAAGGTTGTCCAATTGCATTCTGTGCAGTTAAATTTTCAAAAGTAGCCTGAGATAATAAATTACTATAAGTTGTTGTTATGTTTATTTTTGGTTCATATGTAGGTTTATCAGAAAACCGTGTTATTCTAGGTTTAACTCTTTCTTTTGGTGATTGTGATCCTCTCGTTTGTGACCATCTACTCGATTTATTCCTATCGTCAAAGTTTTTTTCTAAACCATCTTTTGATTTATACAGTTTAGTTTTCTCTGTCACTTTCTTATCTTTCAATTGTTTGTACTGATCCAAAAAACTTCCATCATTTGAAAAAACATTAAATCCGTGTTTCTTATCCTGTGATTTCAACAAACTAAACAAAAACAATGATTAATGAATCATTATTTTAGAATGTTATAGAAACCTTTTAGATGATTTTACGGGTGGTGTGGTGGTGGTTGATGCTTTAGGTTCTGTACTAGAACTAACTTGTCCTTTCTGTTTTTGCTCTAGCCTAGCTTGAATTTCTTTCTTCTTCTCTTCAATCACCTTTTCCTGGTGGGACATCTGCGCAAAACGGTCGTTGCGGGTTATTTTACTTTGAAAAACTTCTGTGGCCCCTTTCTTAGACATTTTTTTATCAATAAATTTTAGAAAATTTATCAATTTTATTTTCACTCAGCGTTTATTTGGCTTTACAACTGTCATTTTTTTGACATATAGGGTTAAATTTTCAAATAACCTAATTTACAAGAACGACAAGAACATTTAACCTAATAAATTAGATATATTGTAAAATTTGCTTTATTTCAATATTGCATCTTTATTTATTTCTTGAGGATTAAATAAACATGAAAATTAATTTTTTTATAACAATAATTCATTATTCTTTTATTAATAATTTAGATGGCGCTAGTAGGTGTCTCATAAAATTAGACAGGTTTGTTTGGTGAGGTTATGTCAATCATTTTAAGTGCAACATATTTTTGCAAGTTAAACAATTTTAAAAGCACAAAAAAGTGATTTTGTACCTAAAGAATGGCTCCAACCTGTACTCCCGATAAGAAAAATGGTAAGATTTTAACCTAAAAGGTTAAAACAGAATAAAAATTATAATGACAGATGATCAATCATTTTTTGTAATAATAAATGTTTTTTTATTTATATTAAATAATTTTTTTTAGACTATGAAAATGAACGATTAGGTTCGAATGAATTGTATTTCACCACAACAGACTTTAACGGTCTTAGTGCTAACAACAGCGCAACGGAATTAAATAATGAATCTTTACAAATGAGTAAATTACATGAACAATTTCCAGAATTAGGAGAACATTTTAATTTAATTAAAAAAGTTGGTCACGGAACCTTTAGCACTGTTTATTTAGCTACTGTAAAAACGAATAAAGACAAACAATATGCAATAAAACATGTTGTTCCAACTTGTCACCCCGATCGAATACGTTTTGAATTACAATGCTTAAAAGATATTGGGTAAATCTTAAAATTATGATTATATATGAAATAAAATGGTTTAAATAAACTTTTAGGGGCGCTGAGAATATAGTTGGGGTTGATTTGTGTTTTCGTAATTTAAATAATGTTATTTTTGTGATGCCTTTTCAACAACACGATTTTTTTGGGGTAAGTTATAATTTAATTAAAAAAACGTGCTTAATAATTTTTTTTAATAGGATTACGTAACTGAAATGGACACTGAAGAAATTGCATTATACATGAAAAACTTATTAAAAGCAATCGCTAGAGTTCACAGTTTTAACATTGTTCATAGAGATATTAAACCAAGCAATTTTTTATATGATCGAAAAAACAGAAAATATCTTTTAGTTGACTTTGGTTTAGCACATACAGTAACTGACCCAATAAAACCAATAGAAACGATTAAAAAACGAAAACGCGAAGATTCCCCACCTGTATGTCTTATAAATTTTTTAATTTAAGTTTTTTTAATTAACTTTATTTTAGACGTCAAATGTGTCAAAAAAGCCAAACTTATCTAAATTACCTAAGAAAGGTAGTAGCCAAAAAGAAAACGATGTAAATTTAAAATTAAAAACTGTTACAAGACAATTATCTTTTATGAATAGTTCAAATTCAGTTCAGTATGTTTCAAATGGAGCTGCTGCTGGTTCTAGTGTATTTTCTAAGTCTCCCCCGATGAAATCAAGCTTAGAAACTAACCAGCTAAATCAATGCGGTTGTTATGGAAAAGCAAGAACTTGCGCTAAATGTTTAGCTAAGAAAAATTTGAGAGCTTTAAGAGCTGGAACGCCCGGTTTTCGCCCACCAGAGGTTTTATTAAAATCTTTACAACAAGATACAGGTAAAAGTAAAGTCTAAAAAAATAAAACCCCGAAAATAACATTATTAAATTTTTTTTTGAATTGCAGGTATTGATATTTGGGCAACTGGAATTATTTTATTATCCATTTTAAGCGGATCTTGTAATTTTTTTGCAAGTCCCGATGATGTAACAGCTCTCTCTGAAATAATAACCGTTTTCGGATTTAATGCTATAAAAAAAGTTGCTTCTCAATGTGGCCGGCATTTAATTTGTAGTGAAAAATGTCCACCTTTAGATTTAAGAAAGATTTGTCGTATATTAAAAATGAGAGATAAATTGATGAACTATTTAGAAACCGAAGAAATGTGTTTGAAGTGTAACCAATTAGAGGTGTTTTGTATTTGCATAGGAACCACTTTGTGTAAGGTAGTTATTTTTAATTTAATTTTTTTTAAATCATTAACTCCATATTAAAAATTACATTTTTTTTAGAAAATTTGTGATAAATATCCAGATCAAGCATACGATCTCTTGTATAAATTGTTAGATGTTAATCCTAATACTAGAATATCTGCAGTGGAGGCATTGAATCATCCATTTTTTAGTAAAGTTTAATGTATTAGACAGTTCTTATTTGAAATAAGAAAGTGAAATTATAGGACATACATAGTAAGTGTGTGATTTGTAATTAAAGTAGTGAATGTGTAAATTACAATAAATCACTTTCAAAAAATTTTATTATATTAAATGATTTCAAAAATTACATTTTCCTTATAGCCATGATGGTTCATTGGAATGAGCAACTTTTCTGGATAGGGTAAAATTATTACAACAGCATCATATTCCTTTTTTAATTCATTTTCGTTACAAATTTAAAATGATGTAACTACATATATTTAATTAACTATTTTATTGTTATAGAAATGTACAAATTGTAGAATCGTGATCTTTCTTATAACCTTGGTGAACAAGTAAATTTTATTTCAAAAAGATGGCGCTAGTTACTACGTTTTAGATAAATTATTAATTGCAATAAATAACAAAAACTTATTTCTAAAGTATAAATAACGTTAATAAAAAGTTAAATGATTTTTAACAATATATAAAATGGCTTTAATACTTTATTTTAAAATAATTTTGTTTAAATATGTATTTAAAAGGAATTGAGAAATTTTTACCTAACGTACATTTATCCTAATTAGAACACCTCATCTTTATAATGTTTAAAAACAATAATTAAACAGTAATGATGTCTTAAAGAACCTAAGAAAGAATGCTGTAATTATTTTTTAATGTATTTTTTACTATTTACCTGTAGTAATTATTTTAGTACAAAAGGATCGTAATGTTTTGCCTGTGTAAATCGGAGATTTAAATGTCCAAGTAAAAGTGGTGGGGTAAATGTCGGTTGCGTTTCAGACATTTAACTAATTTGAAGTCACTCTGCTAAATGACTTTTAACGACTAAAACAGCACATTTAATCGTCTGCGGGTGCGTCAACGGGGCATAATAGTTTTTCAGCTTGTCTAGAAACGTAAATACTCGTCCCCGGTTTTAAAATAGACAAAACTTGGGTGATATTCAGTTTTTAATTACGCGTGGGGTTGTGTAAAACATCTATCTAAAATGTTCGATCAAGGAATTAATGTGCTTCAACCGAAAAAGTTACATGTGCAAAGGAACTTATTCAAAACGCCACGATTTGGTGATAGGGGTATCGTTGAAAATTTTGATCGCTATATACCGAGGAGGGCCGGAAATAACTGGGAGACTACTTTTGGAACGATACAGGAAGTTTCTCAAGGAGGTTCCTCAGGGAAAAAATCAAGGGATAATGGGGAGGCTTCGCGAGATAGTTCCGTTTATAATTGTTTGTTAAAAAATGAACTGTTGGGGGAGAGTATTGAAAATATTAAGATGCAATGTGATGAGAGGCAAACCATGACTCCAATTAAAACAAGAAAATTGTTTCAGTATGGTACACCAAAGGTAAGATTCATAATTAATAGTATTTTTATGTTTCATTTCACAACCTTAAAAAAGTCGTGTATTAAGTCCAAAAAGTCGATGATCTTTCACAGAACATTCGATTCAATTGCAAATGACGGTGAAAAACGATGACATCCTATTGTCTGCTTGCTCAGGAATAACAGTTTTTGCAAAATTAACAATAACCTTCAAAGGTTTTGAAACGCATCATTTTTTTTTTGTCGATTGATGAACTTTGAATTCGAAATACGAATTTGTTTGTGTCAAAAACTGGCTAAATTTACGCAACATCAAAGTCAAAATACTCTAAAAATAAATAAATACACTTAAATGCAGTCGTTATCAGTAATTTATACGAAGCGTGAATGTTTGTTGGTTCGTTTGCCCTAATTTCGTTCTGAAACGCATTGGTTATTAATATTATACAGTACTGGGTACATTACCATATGCTTTGGTTCTTAAATATTCATGGAAAACGAAAAAAAGAAAAAGAAATAGGTTCTAACAATAGTGTAAAGAAAGTATTTTATTTTTTTTTGTCTTTCTTCATCAATTTACACTCGAATTTTCACAATTAACGTGTATTTAGAACAGTAGTGTGTTGTACTAAATTATACTTTGTTCAGGTCAAAACGGGATGTCTAATTTTAAGTAGAAACGTTTTATGAGTTTATCAACTGTGTACCTTTCTTTTTTGGGGGACGATAATTACATTTACAGGGCTAGCTTCGGATACATCTAGTTAAAAATAAGACACGAATAATTAAAGTTTATGTTTTTATTGGTTTGTTGTTTTAAAAGTAGAGTGCGCAATAACAAAATCGACATAAGATTAAATTTAAAATTAACACTCAAGTCAAAAAAATTATTATTTAATGACGTTCAAAGATTATTTTCTTTATAGAAATAGTTGAGGTTTCACTTCGTTTTTATAGTTTTCTTGGGACTCCATCAATAAATAAATACTAATAAATTAGTAGCAACCATAACCAACAACTTTATATAACTAAACAACCTAGAAGGAGGATTTAGCCCTTTATTGGTAATGCCTAGTCATCTGTTAATGGTGTCAAGATTTCTGCTAACACTGTCTATTCTTCTGCCAACTATATTTAGCCTTCTGCAAGCAGTATTTAGTCTTCTACCAGCTGTAACTAGTCTTTTATTGAAAATATACACTTCTAGGAGTGGTATCTAGTATTTTGCCTTTGCTGTTCTCCTTCTTTCAGAGTCTTTTTGACACATTTAATGTTTCTGGCTCCTTCAGCTACATTGATTTCAACTCTCTCATTTTATTGATTCTAAATTCGTTTTTCTCATCTTTCTAGTTTTTCTGTCATTATTTCTGGTTTTAATAATAATAATTTGAGTTGATGTAAAAATAAATTTACCATGATATTTTAAATTGGGGGCTACCATTAGAAACCCATGTTAAAATAGAAAGATTAATTACGTGTCATGTTAGTTGTGGCTTATTTCTGGCGATATCTAATTAAAAATAGGACAGAGGGGTCCATATTTAATTCACTTTATATTTTAATACAGTAATGCACGGGTACCTTTTTTAACCCTAATATGTTTTTTTCTTAATAAAGTTCATGCTTAATGAATTCCTCTAATCTTTTCTGCCGGTGTCCTTTAATTAACCCAAAAATAGATTTAATTCTATTTTAATAGAATTCTTTTCATTAAATATAATGAAATGAAAAAAATTTTATTTCTTTATAATCTATATCATCATTTTGCAACCGTTTTATGGAATTTTTTTATTGACAAATTACCTCAACGTTTATTTATTTAATACTTAAGAAAATGTTTCATTTTATTTTATCATGTAAACAGATAAAATATCTTAGTTTACACGTAATTTGATCCGAGATAACGCAAGATGAAAATTATTTAACTAGGAATATCACGTGTATTAATTTCAAAAAATTCTTTGGACAGGAATCACTCCACAAAACGGTAGTTAACCGATTTATTACGTTTTATTACTTGGGGTCATAACCGCCCGCTTACATTTGTATTGTTATATAACCCACTCATTTAATAATAATAAGTGTGGGTCATTGGAAAATACAATTTTACAGTATGCACACGGTAATATTTTCAATAAATTGCAATAACCTTGTTGGTAAAATAGAAAAAAAAATGATGTTTGCGTTTTTTCACGGAATGCAACGTGCCGCTATTTTTAGAATTTCCATTGTAATCGACTAATAGAAAAGATAGAAAATTTCTTTTTTGAGGTTATTTCAAGGAATGCGACGAGAGATTGAAATTAGATGGGAAAAAAATTTTTTTTTTTTCGGTTTAAATCGTTTGATTGAAACGGTTCCGTTCAAAAACTGGAGCAACCGCGGAGACAAGTGCCTTCACAAATATTGCGACACTATAATGATAAAGAGATAAAGAAGGAGAGTACAATCTGAAAGAGACAGGTGGAGAGGGATTAAGCCGAAATTTTTCTGTCGATAAGAAAAACGATTATTCTGTTGAATTTCATGGGAGAGGTTTTTGTGGTACGATTTTGGTAGGCTTAGGCCGTTAGGTATGCTTTGTTTCTTCGACGCCTTTTCCTTTTTTCTGCGTGGCGCTTGGTCCGATTAATTAAAATGTACTTTTCAATTTATAAAAAAGAGAAATGTACAAAACTGTAAAAGAGCTTTTTTTGTAATTCTTATTTCAAGAAGAAAGTAAAAAAAAGTATGATTTCTTTTCTATTGTTGAAGTTTTGAAACTTATTACTACAACTTTTATGGTTTATTTTCATTTTAACAAAATTTCAATTTTAACGAAATTTCAAAATGTAAGGTTATGTGACCAAAATTAGTGGTAGTAGTCTACACTCAACTTTCTCTAGTTTCTATTAGGTATAAATAATATTTTTTTTAATTTGTCTGAGTCGTGTGATAATAATAAACCAATACTTTATGAACCATGAAGACTTCGTTTCTTCTTTCTGATATGTAATTGATTCATTAAATATAACTTAATAATTAATAATAATTTGATCTTATGAGTATTCCTGAAAATGTTGAGAGAGTGATAATGGCAGTCCAGCTATGATATTAATTGTACTGCCTTGGCCTCGGCTAATCTTACCACTTCAGCTGTGGTATTTAGCCTTCCTAAGCCGAGGTCGCTTGCGGCCGAGGCAGTGCAGTATATATGATCCAATTTTGTACTACTGTAACATTAATATACGGTCTCGGTCAGAAGCAACCTCGGCTTGAGAAGGTTAATTACCACACCTGACGCTGTAAGGTAAGCACTACAATGTATATGAACCAGTTTTGTACTGCTTTGGTGTTAATTGTACTGCCTCGGCCGCAAGCGACCTCAGCTTAAGAAGGCTAAATACCACAATTGACGTTATAAGCTTAGCAGAGGCAGTACAATATATATATATATGAATCAATCTTATACTGCTGTGGTATTAATTGTACTGTAATGTCAAAAGTTGCTCACAACATTAAATTTTTTAAAAACTTTTTGAGGTTTTTGTTGGTATTGCTTAGGGTCCATATAAAATTAAATAATTAAGTATTTTCGATAAGTAAATAATTGAGGTTAAAACGTAATAAAAATAAACAATTAAGCATCAAATTTCAATTATTTAATTATAATTATAAAATCGAAAAGTGAATTATCTTTTTGAATGTAAAAAGTTTAAACGTCAATGTGACATAAATTTCTTCTCAATGATACCAACTGTTTAACTAACTTCATAACAATCTAAATTTTTTTTACGAAATTTTAGTTTGAAGTTTCCCATAACGGACTGAGATGGTGTTAATAACTTGTTTAAATAAAAAAGAAATGTTTGTTTAGTTTGCGTAAAAACGAAGTAGTGATAGATTAAATTGAAAGAGAAACCCAAATAGAAAATTTCTCTCGAACCCGTAAGAAAAAGGAGTTAATGAATAAAACAAATGCGTTAGTGTGGTTCGGGTTAATAATTCTTTCGCAAAACGATTATTTCATTTTAGTATTATTATTTTTTTGGGCAACTTACGCACTACGATTTACGAAATGACCGAGCATTTATTAAATTAGCTCGAGCGGCGCGTCAATTAAAAGATTTACGCGGAAGTTGCGTTTTTTTTTTACTTAACTTGCTGTCAAATTTTGATTTACGGCCTTTCTAAAAGCAAGTTTCGACAATAAAAAAATGCTAATTTCTGAAATATGAATTAAATTATAGTGTAATCATCAAACCGTTTAAATATGTACGATTTAAAATTGATTTCGTTATTCAATTTGCGATTTTAAACCTTCGAAGTAGACAAACAATTTAAATTCAATGACGTAGCATTAGAACTGCAACTATATGCATTAGAATTACAATAACGAACGAGTGCATACGTTAAATGGAATATGACATACATTTCATGCTCGTAAAAGGACACAGGGTTATCGAGAGACCTAAATTTTTGAAATAATACATAAAACATTTTGTTATTTTAATTTTTTTTGTATTTCAGAATGAAAATACACCTCAAAAACATCCAACAAGTCCTTATTCAGTATCCCCGTTAAGTCAAAGTAGTCAAAGACTTCTTCGGTCACCCCACAAAGCAACAAGAAAAATTTCCCGGATTCCATTCAAAGTACTCGATGCTCCGGAACTTCAAGATGATTTTTATTTAAATTTGGTGGATTGGTCGGTCCAAAATGTGCTTAGCGTAGGGTTGGGAAGTTGCGTTTATTTATGGTCGGCATGCACTAGTCAAGTAACGAGACTTTGCGATTTATCAGGGGATAATAATGCGGTTACTTCGGTGGCGTGGAGCGAAAGGGGCCATTTAGTCGCCGTTGGTACTCACTTAGGATATGTAACGGTTTGGGACGTTGCCGTTAATAAACAAGTTAATAAATTGATGGGGCATTCGGCGAGGGTGGGCGCTTTAGCATGGAATGGGGATGTTTTAAGTTCCGGAAGTAGAGATCGATTTATCTTACAAAGAGACACAAGAACACCACGTACGTATAAAATTTGATATCAACTAAAGATTGAGTCATTAATTTATGTTTACACTATTTTAATATTGACTCATGGTGTGGTTTAAACTGCAAAAAACACTATGTTGATTTTACGTTATCTATTTTAACAAACTATAGATATAGTTTATACATATACAGTTAATTTCACTTAAGATGCAATATACAAAAATATATTTTCATAGAAACCAGGGCGTATCTACTTACTTTGTCCTACATAAAATGCAAAATATATATATAATTTGACATTACAGTCAAAATATATAACATGCCTGTACTATTAAGATATGTTGCATTTTATGTGGGACAGTGCAAGTGCATAGTAGTTTCGTAATTATGGTTTGTTCATTCATATATTACATTTCAACATTATTTCTTATATTTTTATCAGCGAAATACATAAATTTAACAATACAAAACAATATAATTACACATTTTCTTGTGTTTAAAAGTTATTTTAAAAACGTTTCGCCGATAACAAAAATAATCAGTCGAGACCTTTTGTATTTTTCGACATTCCAACCAAATCTTGTCGTTAACCATACATTAGAGGTAAACAATAGATAAAGGAGCGGTTGATAACTACTTATTGTTTTCGCGTTTAAACAAATTTGATATTTTTTTTTAGCTTCTATTATTGAAAGAAAACTGGTTGGTCATCGCCAAGAAGTTTGCGGTTTAAAATGGTCACCAGATAAGCAATATTTAGCGTCTGGAGGGAACGATAATCGACTGCATGTTTGGAATATGCAGTCATTAAGCTCAGTACAAACATATACAGACCATTTAGCCGCTGTTAAAGCCATCGCTTGGTCACCCCATCACCACGGATTATTAGCTTCCGGCGGAGGGACTGCCGATAGATGTATTCGATTTTGGAACACTTTAACGGGACAACCGATGCAATGTGTCGATACGGGTTGGTTAAAATGAATTTCATCCGATCAAGATATTAATTAATTCCTTTTAGGTTCTCAAGTATGCAATTTAGCTTGGTCAAAACACAGTTCGGAATTGGTCTCGACGCATGGTTACTCGCAAAATCAAATTTTAGTGTGGAAATATCCAAGTTTAACTCAAGTTGCGAAATTAACCGGACATTCGTATAGGGTGCTTTATTTGGCTTTATCACCGGATGGCGAGGCGATAGTGACAGGGGCTGGAGATGAAACATTAAGATTTTGGAATGTTTTTAGTAAAGCGCAGTCACAAAAAGAAACGCGTAGCGTATTAAGTTTATATACTGGGATACGCTAATTAAAATTAATTAATTAAAGATTTATTTAATGACTGAGAACAAATTTAGGTAATTTTTGATTTAATATTGTATATTTATAATTGATTTATTATAGAAAAGTAAAAGTCGTTTATAACTTTATTATATAAATATATTAATTTAAAGAGTTATAATTATTAATTTAGAATTTATTTCTTAAAATTTTTTTTATTTTTTTTGTGATATTAATTTACTTCTATATTAGTTATTATGCTTCATATTGATGTAAAATCTTTTTATTTTGTTATAGTACAAATAAAAATTAATTTTTTTCATTAAGAGCTAGTCAATTTCATTTTTTTCTTAGTATTTAATTAATTTTGTATAAAATTGTTGTAATAAAGAACATCTTGGGGATACTCACCTTTTTTTAGACCTTAACAAATAAAATCCACTACATTTTTTTTAATTATTTTATTTATAAGAGAGTCTAATAAGATAATTTCGGTTTATTTTAATTAATTTTTTTAATTACTTCGACTAAACTAAATCGCTATACCTATATCGATAAAAAGGCAAATGATTCTCTTATATTTATTTTATTAATTAGTAAAATATTGAGAAAGTTTGACGAAAGATTAAGTAGTCTTTGAAAAATTCCATACTGGATACCTTATTCAAGATTGATTTAGTGCAAAAATTTCGCTCAAATTTTAGTTAATAAAAATAATTTGTTGGAAGACGAAAAATAAATTCAATTAATCCATCCACAATAATAATAATGTTGAGACAAAATTTTTGCATTAAATCGGAAAATATAAACTGGTTAATACAGTAAGTATTAAAAGTTTTAAAAGTCTAGCTTTCGAATTGCAAATTATCCTTTATAAATCGTCGCAAATAAAATAATTTTAAAAAAATATATCATTTTAGCTTATTTTTATTAATTAAAGCTGTACTTTTATGCTTTGTGACTTGTAAAAAGCTAGATGAAAAAAATTTAATACTTCAATATTAATAATTATATATAGAAGCTTATAATATCCTTATTTTGTTGTTGATATTACTTTTTTATAATACCACAGAAAAATCAGATTTATTTATTTTTTACACACACAATTTCTTTTTTATGTTATTTATATTACTTTAGAATTCACGTAGTTGTCAATCATTATTATTACTAAATTTCCTCTTCAATTTCATCTTTATTTGGAAGCAAAGCTATTTTTTATTTTTTTATTTTCAGTATGGAAGATAAAAATAAATGGGTTTATTATATTTATTATTAAACTGTTTTCTCCATCCATTTCTTTTTTGTATTCTTTCAAATACAATAACAAGTTAGACAGTATCGATAGAAAATAGTTTTTGTTTTGTTATTTTGTGTGGAGACCAGATATGGTTTTATAAAATCGAGCAACGTAATTTCAAACCGTGCCTACTACCGATCATGGGGATTTTCGGCTTACTTGTCCCTTTTTTTTTGTCATCACGTATTTCCCTTACTAAGGTATAGAAAGCATCGTCCACACCCATACGTGTTTTCGCTGATGTTTCCACAAACGGAATTCCATATTGTTTTGCAATCTAAAAAAGAATTTTTTAATTAAATTTTAATAAACCTTAATGGTTCTTTAATAATACCTCTCTCGCTTGATTCATATCAACAGCCCATGCGGATAAATCACATTTATTTCCAACTAAAACCATAGGCACTTCTTCGGCATCCTTAACCCTTTTAATCTGTTCTCTATAAGTGCTGATATCTTCGAAACTTTTCGCTGAATTAACAGCAAAAACCAATAAAAACCCTTCGCCGGTTCTCATGTACTGATCCCTCATTGCGCTGTACTCTTCTTGTCCGGCTGTATCCAAAATATCCAAAAGACACGTTTCGCTATCTATCACGACTTGTTTACGGTATGAATCCTCGATTGTGGGATCATATTCGTCGACGAAATGATTTTGTATCAATTGAATTGTCAGCGCGGATTTCCCAACACCTCCCGCACCGACAACCACTAGTTTGTATTCGGTCATTTTGTTTGAGACCGTAAAGCACCACACTATTGCGTATTTTAAGGGAGAACTCGAGGGAAACGTACGATTCCGTTAAAATAACGAAGAAAAAATAAGGAATTATTTCGTGATGTTTGGGTGTCGGTGAAAAAGGAGCTCGGATTTCTACTTTATTTTAAAATTTATTTCCTAATTCGCTATCCTCTCATAGTACGATCCGGGTGCACCTCACACTGCGTTCCGCGGACAATTAAGACCATTTATAAGCGTTAAAGACGTCGTTTTTAATTAATGAGAATCACCCAAAGAAAATGTTAATAACGCACTTAGAAAGAAATCTGACCGCATACTGTCAAAATGACAATCGTACCAATATTAAAAACAAAAAGAAATTAAACTGAATTGTCTTATAAATATGATAAATAAATTAAATTGGGTTTAATTTTTATCAAATGATACCAAAAATTGATAATGTTGCATAAATTTATAATAAATTTATTTAAATAAATTATATAAATAAATAAGTTTAAAATTCCCTCCTAAAAAAATTTAGTTCTCCTATTATAGCGCTAGTTGTCTTGCATAAAGAGGTTAACTGAAAATTAAATGGGCCGAGTGCGGCTTAATTCTTTTTAAAGGAAAAATTAATAACTCTTTTCAGGACATGGCATTAAATTTCCGCACTCTAGGTAATAAGTTTACGCCTTTAGGCTCGTTTATCACCGCTAGAAATAACATAATTAACGTAGAGAAGATCGCCAAAGATATTCCAACATCATCTGATAGGTTAGGTCAGGTAAATAAATTTTTTTTATTATTATATAACTATTTTTTCCATATACGACTCAAGTAAACAAATTACAAAATTTAACTAAACGTTATTCGTTATTTATTTATTAAATAAATTTTTAATTAATTATTTCATCACATGTCATCAACTTAACCTCAAAAAAATTAATTTAATTTTTAGGTTGGATTTAGAACACTTTCAAATTATGTATTGAATAGCAACAATTATGTAGACAAACATTCAACCTCTCTTATAAATGCAAATGCAGATGAACAAATGCTTTATAGCACCAGTCCTGAATCAATACGAAATTGTATTGTTGCTAAAGCTAACCCTTCAAATGAAAAACCCAACCCAGAGAAACTTGAGAATATCTATAATGTTCTTAGCGAGTCATTACCTAAATTATTTATTCAACCAATGGATTATAGCATCTATTCCCCGGAACTTATTTTTGAAAATAATATTAGAGGAACTCGCACTGTGGGTTTGTACAATTACGTCAAACAAATTGCTTTGTTGCGTACTGTTGGTCATCTGAGGTACGCTTACGTTAAGTTTGAGGTGCTTAAAATAACCCAAAACCCAGAAGACTCTTCCGTGAAGGTTCGATGGAGGATTAGAGGTATTTCTGGGTTACGAGTAATGGTGTTATTTTGGAAGTATCGTTTATGGAATGTAAGAGAATTATTTGAGAAGACAGATTCGTAAGTATTCCAATGAACAGGTTATCAAGAAAAGATAATTTTTATATTTAAGATGGTATGATGGTTTTTCAACATTTTACGTCAACAGCGATGGGGTTATTTATAAACATGTCGCAGATAAAGTAACATAGAAATTTATTAATTATATTTTTTTGATTAATTTATTTTTTTTTTTAATTTAGATGATGCCCGATTCTGAAAATGAGGTGTTAAAACAACAAAGTCCAATAGATACAGCTAAATTGGCGCTTATGGTTGGAACTACTTTACCAAGATTTTCCCATTTGAACACTGTAACGTAATTGCATTTTTTTATAGAAGGTTGTTTCCTGTCCCCACTATCCTTTTTTTTTATTAGTTAGTTTTAATTTATTATTATTTTCGAGTACATATAAGTATTACATGCTATTTGAGAATGATTTTACTTAGGCTCGTGAGAGAATTGTAACTGTAATTACATGTTGATGATGAAAATGGTTATGTTAGATGGGTATTTTGTTTCAAAATACACTTTATTTGAACAAAAATTAATGTTTTAGTTTTTTTATTTCTTTTTAACTTTTAACAAATTTTATTTTTTTCTTTCATATTTCCACACATAAACTGGAGCAGATTCTTTATCCCCCTTCTTTAATTTTTTTGGTGGTAAAACATTTTTCTTTGCATCAACACATCGTTTCATTTCCAATTTTCTTTGTATAATGCTTAATTCTCTTTCTCTATGAATTCGTTTTGCCAATTCCTTGTAAACCCCTTTACGATTTTTAACAGCTTCCCCTAACACTTCTAAATTCACATCCGGTAACTCAACTTCACCCAACAACTTCAACTTATCCTCTTTATTATAACTCTCGTCTAAATTTTCTTTGAAGTATTTATGGTTATTCTTAATTTCATGATCAACGTTACATAAATGTAATCGTGATTGCAACTTTTCGATTTTTTTCAATTCTTGAGTTCTTTTCGTTACAACATATTTTAAATCTTGAGTTGACATTAATTGGATTTGTTCTGGAGTGTCCTCGTCGCGAGTTTCTTTTTCAAAATGAATTCCATTTTCTATCTTAGAATTTATCATGTGGTGATAAAATTCATCCGGATTTTTATTTAACGCTCGTTTTCTTAGCAATTTTAAGGTTGCGTCTTTTTCATTATGATCAACTGCTCTCTGTTTATAATCCTTTTTCTTTTCGAGTAATCCCAAGTGGCTCCTACTTTCCGGTTGATGACGTTCTCGGTAAGTTTTTCTATTTGCTTTTGATGCTTTTTTCCACACAGACATTTTTGCCTTTTATTGTGCAAACTATTAACTTACTCACTTTTGTAATTAGTAAGCATGGAAAATTGAGGTTATGTTTACAACGGTTTATACTGACAGTTTTAAAGTTTGAAATAATATAATAGGTGGCGCTGTATTACACATTTATTAAAAAATTAAATTACGACATTATTAAGACACATTTCGATATCTTTTGTTTTTGAAAGTGTTTGTGTTGTGATCGGTGTTTTTCCGGAAAATTTCAGGTAAATTTATGAAGAAAGTGATAAAGAAATTTCTTTTTCTTACATCAGTTGATGTAATATTTATTTTTGTTAAAAACTTACTCATTTAAACAAAAATAAAATAAACATGTTAGGTTAAAATGCAACTAAAATAATACGAATAATTTTTTTTAGTGGAAATGTAATAATTGAAAATGAAATGTCCTTAATTAATTGTGCTAAGATTAATTATGGATTATTTGGAGAAATAATCAATATATTTTTAATTAATTTATTAAGTAAGCAATAAAATAAATTTTATTGTTGTTCAACAGATGGCGCTACAACCCATTGCGGTCCTAAATGTCACATAATTTTATTTTTGGAGGTTATCTTGAAATTTTTTATATTCTTTAAGTCTTAAAGCTTGAATATTAATAAACCCTGTTGCATCTTGCGGTACAAAATCTGAATGTTTATCCATAGAAACTAAATCTTCGTTGTAAGTGGAGAATTTAGATTTTCTTGATAAAACGGACACTAAAAAGAAACTCATTAATGGATTATAAACAATTTTAAAATTTTCTCACCATTTCCTTTGTAAAGTTGTAATTTTACGCTTCCTGTTACATTTTCATTAGCAATTTCGATACATTTCCTTGTATAATTTCCTTCTGGAGAGAACCAAAATCCGTTGTACACAAAATCGGATAAACGCGTTTTTAAAAGCTCTTTTAATCGAAAAACTTCTTTATCTAAACAAAAAACTTCCAAGTCTAAATGAGCCGTGTATAAAATAAAACCGGCGGGGGTTTCATAAATTCCTCTCGATTTTAACCCAATAAAACGGTTTTCAACGATGTCAATCCTTCCAATTCCGTGTAATCCACCGAGTTCGTTCAATTTATTAAACATTTTTAGACTTCCTTCGATATTTTCGCCATTCGCCAAAATTAAGCTCGATGGTAAGCCGTTTTTAAAATAAATCTCGATTTCACTTGGTACATTTGGTCCGCTTAAAGGATCTTTGGTCATCAAGTAAAGATTTTTTGGTGCTGAATTGGATGGATTTTCTAAAATTCCAGATTCGTAACTTATATGCATTAAATTAGCGTCCATACTCCACGGTTCTTTGGGTGTAACTGAAACGGGAATCGAATTTTCTTTTGCGTATTTCAATAAATCTTGTCTTCCTTCGAATTTTTCGCAAAATTCTTTTACTCTCCACGGTGCGATCACCTTGACCTCTGGCCACAAATAATAACAGGATAATTCAAATCGAACTTGATCGTTTCCTTTTCCGGTGGCTCCATGCGAAATGTATTTTGCACCAATTTTTTTGGCACATTTTATAATACCCAATGAAATACACGGTCGTGCCAAAGACGTTCCAAGTAAATAACGATTCTCGTAAATTAATCCTGCTTGAATTGATGGCCAAACAAAATCGTTTAGAAATGATTCTTGAACGTTTTCAATTATTACCTATAAAGAAAAAGAATTTTATTCGGTTAATTTTGATCAAACTTTTATTTATTACGTCTTTAGCTCCGATTTTTAATGCTTTTTGTTTGGCAGCTTCGAAATCTTCGTCTTGTCCAATATTGGCCATATAACAAACGACTTCGTAACCTTGTTCCAATAACCACTTTAAAATGCAGCTTGTATCTAAACCACCTGAGTAAGCAAGCACTACTTTTTCTGCCATTTTTCGTTCGATTAATTCGCTGGTCGATTGAAAACTGTTTAATGTATCTTTTATGTTCTTTAAATAGAGTTTGATAATTTTGAAAAGTTCAAGTAAAGGTGAAATCGGATTTAATTTGATAAAATAAATTGGATAAGAAAACATCATTTCTTCATTCAAATAAAATTATTATTGAAACATTTTGAAATTAAAATTAGACATTTCGATTTAAACGTTGGATTTTTAGCTGAGATTTTAAAAATATTTAGGGAGTTAGTTAATGTTCGAGTATTCTCAATTTCTAATTGATAATGTATTACTTTTGCGGTTTCTTAAATTAATAGTTTCTAGTTTAAGAACTCAATTTATTAAAGTTTACCATGTTAATCGAGGCTTCTAACGATCTTAATCAAGCAATTAGAATATTTCGCTAACTTAACGTCGTGACGAAGTCGCAATTTGGTTTTATAAAGTTTATTGAAGTAAATGAATATTTAACTTGACGCTTTTTGCTTTGTGATATCTTAATTTTTGCTTTGGACACATTAACTGACGTATTTAGAGTTAATCAAGGTTTAACATGGCGTTAACGCATCATTAAATCGAGGTTGAGGTCGGATTTAATAAACGTTTTTGGAGTTAATCAAAGTTTAACATGACGTTGATCACTCATTTTCATTTTTTATTGTCTAAGTTATCGTAATTATCAATTAATGTGACACTAATCAAGCCTAATCATGCCTACGACCTAATATTATATTAATGAAGTGTAAAAGAAAAGAAGTAAATAAAACACAGAACAACTTTATTTGCACAACTGTATTAACAAAGCGTACATCACATATAATATTTATTTTTTTGCATATTCTTAACCTAATTTAACACATACAAAAAATAACTTTAATATTTTATGTTAAATATTCCGAATATTGATCCGAATTATATTGTTTATTAAGTGTATTTGTGGATGTTTGTGTATTAATCGTTTTAAAAAATTCTTATTGTTCCCTTTTTTTTTTTACGAAAAAACCTCACATCCTTAATGTTCGAATAAATTCTTTTCATTTATTTTTTTTATTAATTAATAGTTAATTTATTCAATAAATTCGGCTGGTTATTAGAATCACGTTAATAAAATAAATCTAATCGTCTCCAAAGTGTATAATACATAGAAAGATTTTCATTTTGGTTTTTTTAAGAAATTGGCCACAGTTTCTGATGAGACCCTGTTCACGTTTAAAATCGACCATAATTTTAAGTTTTTCCCCATATAATTTTTTTACGTTGCTTTTTTTTATTTGTTTACAATTAAGTTTTTGTACATTCATTTTTTTTTAACTACGACAGATATGAGTACACAGGATATATTTTCCACAGATTTTCTAACCTACATATTTAAGTAACTTGGAGAAATTTTTTAGAAAAGGGAGAAATTTTAAAGAAAATTTTAGGGAAGTTCACGTTGAAAGCTTGGTATAGTTTTTTTAAGTACGATATGCTCACAGATATACGTTTTTAATTTTTTTTTTATATTTTAACGTCTATTTTTTTTAAACCCCACTTAATACTTTTTAGTTACATTAATACTGTTAATGTTATTTATTATGTTTCTCCTTTCTTTCATGGCAGTGTACTATTTAACTTACCTCTTTTCAACAACTGCTTATAAAAGGATTCATTTATCATATAGAAAATCCAATTACATTTTTAAATCCATTTCTCGTATTTGCTTTTTATTCCCTTTGTTGTTTCTTTTTGTTGTATCTTTTTATTGTGATGAGTTTAACGTGATTAATCAGATTTCTTTGGCGACGGAGAAGGGATCTACGTAAACGACCTGGGCTATGCATCCACTTCGTGACAAACCTCCATGTAAGCGGGATGCAACAATATATCTTTTATCATATCTTTTAGCATTGTATAACGTGGAAACATCGGATATAATTTCGATGTCATATATTCAGACTAAAAAGATACCAATTAATTTTATTTCATTAATAATTTTATTATTACTTTTAATTCTCTGATTAAATTTCTTAATCCTGAATATTTTTTAAGTAACCTATAAAGGTCGTTTGTCATTTGAGTGTTTTCCGCGTCAATTTGAGAAGTTGTCATATCTAAAAAAAATATTTTATTATGTCTTCATCAATGGAATCAACTTACTTTCTAATCGTTCAACTCTTTCCCGTTTATCTTGAGCTTCTTCAGCCAATTTTGCTGAAGTTTTCACTCCTTCCCCGGATTTTTGAGTCTTCTCCATAATGGAACAGGCTCTCAGTACGAAAGCGGGTACGGTTTCTTGTTTCTCTTGTTTTGGAATGTCGACTAAAGCCCAATATTGAGTTTCGAGTCTTATAACTTCCTGTTTTAACATTTAAAAAATTGGTATTTTAGATTAGGAAATTTAGACTCCTTTTTAGACTTCTTTTTAGATTGGTTTACTGTCTCACGTAGCTGGTTTCTATTGGGGCAACAAATCACTGGGGTGCATGACTGTGTTGCAAATGGGGCTTTTGGGTCGTTTCTTGAACGTGACAACTTTATTTTCTAACAAATTGTTCAAGATATTTAAACTTTTACAAAAATTACAAATTGACATTTCAAAACCCAACCCAATTTGTTTTAAATCATCACCAATCCTTATTTATTTTTTTTTAAGTGAAAGGATTTGAATTTAAAATAAATTAATCCTACCTTAATCATAGCCTTCAACAAGTTGTATCTTTGGAAAATATTATGGACGCTTTTGCTATCATTATACTTGGTCATTAACGATACCAAAGCTTTTTTAGCTGTGTCGTAAGATTCGTCGAGGCGAACTCGAACCGCTCGCAATCTTTCGTTAGTCTCGATGACCTCTTCTTTGGTTTGTCCACTCGCGCTGCCCTCATCTTTTACGTCTTGAACAATCCTTCGAACGCTTTGTGTAAATTTCCCAACCAAATTCGTCGATCCTGAATAAAAAGAAATTAAGAAAAAAATTAAATTTTAACCTTTCCCTTTTTAACCGATTTTTGCTTTTTGATACCACTTTGTTTTGTTTAATCGAGACATTGTTGGACTAATATGAAAGAAAAAATATAAACAAAGCGATTTATTTATAGCTTTGTAATTAGATTGGAATTTGATTAATGAGTTATTGGAGATGTTTAATTCATTCTGGGGCTTGGTTTTGATTTGATTTAGAGTAGATGGTCCAAGGTTGGACGTTTACAGAATTTTAAAAGAATAAAATAATACAAACGGATTTAACAACAGTTGGAAAATTGATTTGTCATCGATGAGGTTTGAGAAAGGGATTCTTTTCTTAGAAATGGGAATGCGAAGAACATTGAATCAGCATTGAATCAAAGCTGTCCTTTTAGTATTAAAATTAAAATGACATCATCTTGGTCTTTAACGCACCTTATCCGATCACCATCTACACAAGTTTTTGTTCCCTTGTCGTGCCTATTCTTTTTCTTTTATTTTATTGCTTAATGGAAAAATCAAGGATTTACAACGCGGATATCCTACTTTAAATAAGAAACTCATTATGATATTTCTTATTTAAATTTGTTGATTGGATTTTTTTTAATTTGGAAATTAATTTTCGGGTGACTAGAAAACTTACTTTTCGCTGGAGACATACTTAAAAAATTCGATTTTTAGATTCCATTCGATCTTGACACTGAAACCACACAAAAATAGTATATTATTCGAACGTATAATAAATAATCAGCAAATATTAGCCATTATAATTATACGTTACTCGAATACTATATCATTTAGTTAACCTAAAAGTTGTTTCTTAGATTTCATAATTAACAACCTTGTTGTTACATTATAAATATATTTATATATGTTTTTTTCAGCAACAAAAAGTGACATCATCTTTATAAGTTTATGCAATCAAGAATCATCACCCAAAATTATTAAAGGTATTAATGTGGTGAGAAGACAAATCAATACACTTATGGTAAGTTGTGGTTAAATTTATTTTATATGCATAAAGTCTTTGGCTACTTTTTGTCTTTTGTTCGTTACCTACCATAAACTTAAAAAGTTCAAAATTGTTGAAAGCATATGATTGTCCTGAAGGTAATTATTTAATATAATTACTTTTTTTATGATTGATTTTTTATGAATACCGTAAAGTTGGATTACTCCACTTAAATAACTTTTTAATTTGAATATATTAATGCACAGCATCATTTTCCGGAAAAATATTAATTCAATACATATAATATTTTTTTAGCAATTTTATTGGCGGTAAAATATTTGTCAACGTTAGTTATATGTCATCAAAACAACCGACATAAATGCGACATTCCGCATTTCAGCTTTAACTTGATGTAAAAGTCTTAAGAATTACCTCCGGGAGATCATGAACGAGAAGGCAATTACTCCAAGTCGTCGAGGTCAGATACTCTTCATCTCATATAAGACGAAAAACCTTCTCGTAATTTTGTCGTCTATAATCAAAAGTAGTATCTGAACCAATTGCTCCCGCTTCGGTTAATAAAGTTAGAGGTTAATTTAGGTTATCTTCATATGCCCCTTACAAGTTAGATAACCATTCAAACAGCGTTTTTAAACTCAACAATTTTTATTACAATGTAAACAATTTCAAGTACACCATAATTTTTTAATATATCTTTCAACATTTTTTTTTCTTCAATCAATAAATTTGTAGTATGGGAAATTTTGTGCATTCGTTATATAATCTCATCGTAGTTGTGTTTTGTATATCTAAGGCGACAAAATGCCAAGGACTTGGGGCAAAAAAGAGCACTGACTTTAATAATTACATAAATAATTAAAAGGAACGCGTTGCGATCTTTGCATGTATTAAGCTAATTAATAATGTAACTGATGCTAAGTAGGATTGCGATTAAAAAGTTGCACGGGGGTGTTTATTATTGGTATGTTATTTACGCTTTTAATTAACAAGCCAAATGGTTTGAATGCGTAATTTCTTTCTTAATGTATAGATTTCGAAATGAGAACACATCCAAATCCTTTTGTGATATAACTTTTTTTTTAAATCTTTATGGGAGTTGACCCAAATTTTATATTATACGTTGTAAAAAAATCTAATGAAAATGAATTAGTTAAATCAATAAAACAATCACGTTTATTTACAATTCACGTTTATTTGCAATTACTTCATCTAATTCTAGGTAATTATATTTTTTTTCTAACCCATTAATGTTTAAATTACACATTCATTCATCATTTTCATTGTTTTTTAATTCATTTTTTTTTTATTTTTATTAAAGCTAATTTAACCGTTTTTAACGATTTATTTTTTTATACTTTAATATAAGTTGTTGTAAATATGCCATAAATGAAAAATATAACGAATAAAAAATTTTTTTAGTGTCTAAAGAAGATATTCTACATTCTACTTCTTCTTCTGGCCGTGGAATAACTGGGTACAAAAGGTTGCGGCAAGAAGTTGGATGTCGCAGTATTGAGCCGACATTAAGCAGCGGCGAACGGTTCATGTGGTTTTTTATATGGGATTTTAGTACCGCTTTGAAATCGTTACACATCATTTTATGATAGAATAAACGGACGTGATTTATTTTATTCATAAGGTCAGTAACATTTATTTAATAATGACTCAGTTTTATCTATCCGCTAAAAATTATTATAAATCATCAACGTTCAGATAAATAGTAAGGACAAATGGTTATTATTAGTCTATTGGACTTTCCATGAATAAATAAAAACCGGTTCGATACGATATCAACCTACATAATAATATTACTAAAAAACATTTAGTAACTGATTTTATTATATCGATAAAAAATTTATTTTTATTACGTTGTTTTTAACATTTTTTATACAATTTTCATTGTCAATCGATTTTCATTAAAGTTGTTTATTAAACTTTAAAAAACAACCTGCGCAAAAACCGGAACTAACTAATCCCTTCGTTAACTCATTTTTCATTAAAAATTAATCCCGCTATAGTCATGAAAACGAGAAAAATAATGGAGGTTTTTAAACGATTTTTCAAAAACGGAAGCACCTTTGTCTCACCCGTTACGATAATTATATAAAAAATTATACGAAATTATTAAAAAATTAAATTATTCAAGAATGCAAGGTTTTAAGGAAAGATGTCACACCCGTTACGGTGACGAACATGTCATTATTATATTATTATTTCATTATTTACAGCAAAAATTACCTTTTTACTACATTTTGTTTACAATTTTTTGTTAACAAATTATTAAACATTATATTTTTTAGTATTAAAGTCACACCTTTTACGATGACAGCAGGTTGATAGATATTATTGAGCATCTTTTTAAAGTCCTCTAGTATTATCACATTTCGCTTGATATGATTAGGCTGTGTTGTCGATTTGGAGACTCAGGTACCTGAGGTTAAGCTAGATCTTAATAATCTGTTTAAGTTGCTTGGGAAAACTATTGAAGTACAATTAAGGCGTTCTTTACCTATCAAAATACACACAGAATGATACCAAGTTGATTGAAGATTGCCATAGAAAGACGAGAATGAAAACTCATCTCCACGTTGGCGCTTAGTGTTTTGTTTGTTTTATTGCAATCGTATTATATGAAGATATAGATACTAATAATAATGCATTACATAAATACTCCGGAAACTGGATAAAAGAGAAAAAGATTTAGAAGAAGGTGATGGCAATAAAGAAGAGAAACTAGAGGACCATATTATATATTTCCAATATAGGGTATCACTTCAGAAATGTACCAGAAATTATAATCATAATGGTCGGATAGTGATCCGTTCCATCACTAGTTATTACATATTTTTAAATCATTTAATTATTCATGTTTAGAAGCTCAGGAAATACTAGAAACAACATTGTCGGAATTTTTATGTTATTGTACCGGTTTCTTATTACTAAACTATCATTATCAGGAAAATCTATAAACAAAAAAGAAAATATTTGATGAAATTATAATTAATTTAATTTTAAACATAAAATTTTATATTATGTTTGGTCATTATTGCTTCATTAAGCATCATTTCTAAGATTTCTTATAGTAGTCGTTATTTTTTGCTTATAAAGTTTTATATTCTGTATTTCTCCGACCTTCTTTTATGCGACTATAGTAAACATCAGCATTGAAGCTGAGCGCGCGACCTCAGCACTCCAAGTTCACGGTTTTCACTCCGTGATGTCATCGTCGAAGCGTTTTCTCACCAAAAGTCAACGAGGTCATCTTAAAAGTAAATTTGGCGCGATTCCGGCCAACACACAAAATACGCAAAACATAAAAATAAATAAATAAATAAAAATTGGTGGGTTAGAAATGGAGGAAAAAGACTTGTAGGAGTTGAATTACGTAGTTTTTTTTTCTGAAATTGATTGCACGGGTGTCCCAATTAAGTAGTAGGAGAGAAAGGGTTTTATTTAAAGTGCCGGAGCGGTAATTAAATTCCAAACAGGGCCGACCATGTTGGTAAATTGCAAAGCGGCGACCCTTCCAGTTCGATATTTTACCAATTACCGGTTGGAACCTAAACTAATTTCATAAACCTAAACTAATTTTAACCGCTAAAATCATCGTGATGCTCCTAACTAACTCATCATTATATCGAGTGAATCAACGTAATTATCACATTTATTAGAGGTTCAATTCATTTCTTTTTTTCTAATTTCCAAAAAATTTATAATAATGTAAATTAACCACAATAGAATTAATTAAATGAATTGTCTACACAGATTCTACAAAAGAAAATGTGTAATCTTAAAAAATTCCCAAGAGAAATTCTCATCCTTTCACTTAAAACATTGATTTGCTGTTGTAGATTTTAAGTAAAAAAAAATTTGAGATATTTCGAGATTGAGATTGCAAATATAGAGTCGGGGAGCACTCAAAATGACGGAAAAGCGTTTAGTCGAAGACCCTCGAACACCCAACGAATACGCTATTAGGTCTTTCTCGCAGTTGAAATTGAATTGTAGGACCACTCGACCCCGGAAAATGCTCCGTTGACCCGAATCCGAGTCCAGTCGTTTCGAGGCAAAAACGAAATTTCTCGGTTAATCAATCGCTACTCGGTTTTCATATCTTAAATTCTCATTAACTAATTTTTAATAAATTCCAATTTATTTATTTTTTTAGTTTATCTCATCTACTTCACATTTTTGTATTCTTAATAAAACTAGATGTCTTAACGTTTAATTCTACTTAAGAGGAAAACTTATTATTTCTTGGATAAGAGGAGACGAGATGGGGAAAAGAGATGACGAGAAAAAAAGGGAAACCTGTTGCCACCGGGTTGAAATATGAGTTCACCCGACGGCGAAAGAAAATTCCGACACTTGACCCTCTTTATGTGTATGAGTAAAACGTTTTCTCTTGTATAACGGGAAAAAATCTATTCAAAAGAGGCGAGATAGATAGTAGTGAATAAGAGGATGAGTTATTTTAAGGATTCGCTTATAATTTTTCATCAAAAACTTTTTAAAAACAACTTTTTTCTTTAACAGAAAGAAATCTTCTTAAATATTTTCCATTATGGAAGCCTCGTTTAGGTATTTCTGAAATTTTTAATGCCGATTCAAGTATCTACATTCGCAGACAAATAAACATCCCATTTTTATGGGATTGAGAGAAGTTTGGACCTTGGCGGTCCAGACTAATAAAGAAAACAGGTTTAATACTTCTATTTTCTTCTCCCCGAGTCGGGATATAGTCGAAATTCTCTTAACATTATCGTTAACATATTTTAAGAGTCATGACATTTTTTTGTATATCTTTACGTTCTAGAATCTAGATATTCTCGTCATATCTCGTCTATAATCATCTATGATATGTTTCAATATCGTTCTTGATCCCTAACTCCTCTCTATTTTGATTCTATTCATCCTTGGTAATGCAATTGGTTTGGCACAAAATAGGCTATCTTTATTTTTTAACATAACAGTTTGACTCTATATCTTTAGACTACTATTCTTAAAAGAGATAACCCTGCAAACTTACGAAACATTCTAATTATCATATTACGAAGAATCTTTCTTTGCTCATAATAATGCTAATAGACATTGTAGTAATTGATTGTGTGGTGCTCACTATTTGTTATTAAGTGTTTTTCAATGACACTATGATATAAGTGGTGAACATTTCTTAGGATTTTCCAAGTATTTATTTACGTAAATAAAAGTATTTATTCACTTTAATTAAAGTGAATAAATACTTAAGGTATTAAGGAGGTATTAAATCAAGAATGAGAATACCAAAATGTCTAAGTTATTTATTTATTTTTTAAAATGATTCATTTTAATGCAATAATAAAACTGAAGAAACCAGAATGCTGTTACAGGATTTCTATAAATCAATTCGAACTCCAGGAAACAAGGTGTCTACATTAAACCGCACGTAATTTGGGGATTTTCCCCTTTTTTTCTGCCATCATTTTTTCGGATTAATGTCGCGTCGAAAAGCATTTTTAGTGAACAAAAATACAATGTAAATACAGATTTATGCTCCAGACTCGCCAAAAAAAAGTACGGTCAAAACCGTGTTTTGTCACGAATTCCATACGAAGCACGTTTTTAACGTTCTTTTAACGCTGCCTTTTTTAACAATTTTTTTTACATCATCATCATAACTCTCAAATTATACAAAAAAATTACATTACAATAGAGAAATAATTTGTTTACAATTTTCGAGCGGATGTACATCATAACAACAATAATAATGTTTCATTTCTTTGTAAAAAGAAAAAAATGTTGGTTACAAAGTCTAAAGTTCTCGTATTGATTTTAAACCACAAATGAATTTGTGTCAATGGACACACCTCCAGAAAATCCGATATTATTCGTTCATTTCTTGGTAAGTTACTCTACTATACTCTAAATCCTTAAGAATACCACCATATTTGCTTATCAATAAGGTTTTAAATCCAAACCAAACATATGACGACTTTATGTTTCATTGAATAGATGACGCGATTATGATGACGTTAGGCGCCTGGTTGGAAATTTTCGACCAAACGTGATAAATATTGACTCTTGGGCACGACGCGATTCATGAAACAGACTCTAAAGGAGACTGTTGAAAAAACCGTTTAAAAGCCTTTCATTCGACCCGTTTAAACTCAGTTCCTAATTAGATGTCGTCGAAGTAACATCAACTTAAAAACAATTTTGTAATTGCACAGTGTAAATAGTTAGTTGTAAAAGTCGTCCTCGAAGAAGTGTTTTTTAAAAACTATAATAAATAACCTCTAGGTACGTTTACGTTTTCAAATTAGTCATTCCTTGAAATGTCTTTAAAAACACGTTTTATGCTAATAGTTTAGCTCTTTTAATGGGAATAATTAAGAAATCGTGTTCTTAAATCATTTTTTATGTAATGTCTTTGTTTTATTAATTTATACCTTTCTTTTTAGGATGTTTAAGTTAATAATCTTGATTTGCATCAGCTGCTTATGGCAGGGCCGATACTCTATAGCAGTTCCAACTCCAAGTGCAGATCCAATAGAAAAAAATACTGAATCAGAACTTCAAATAGGATGTGAAGAAGGTTACTCGAACGAAACTCCCGAAACGAACGTGGTAAATCCAACGCAGGAAAAAGCGAGAAAGGCTCGCAGTTATTATTATCGAATAGAAACTCCATCTTCTTTAATTTCCGTTTGGAAGCCGGCGTATTATCGTATTCAACGGCCTTATTACATCCCTGTTTATGGCGGGGAAGGACAAATACCAATCTTTTTTCCACCACAACCGGTTTTTATAAACGCAGGTTTTCCGGTGGATAATCCTCCTCCTCGCGGCGGGAATTTAACGCCAAATCAAGGTTATTTACCTCCAAGAATCGATACGTCAACTGAGAAGGATATGTTCGATAATCGATTTGGTGAAGATTACCCCGTTTGGGATACATCTCCAAGTCGAACCACTCCAAGACCACCCGCAATTATTCCAACACGACGTCCAAAACCAGCAAGAATCACAACAGTTCCTCCATTAATCCATAATGAACCTACAATACCCCCACCTTCCAATGGTGGTGAATTAGGAAGTCGAACCGATATCGAAGGATCTGGTAGTGGAAGTAGTCCAACGACTCCAAGACCTTCCCAATGCGTTTGGGCAATCATCAACTGTTGCGCAGCGGGGTCGCAATCTGTGAGCAACAGTTGCTTTGAAAGATTCGCTTGTCCCGGTCCGTTTTGGGATAAAAGTCCTTGTGAGAGCGATTTTGCCAGACTTGCCATTCAATCAGCTTTAGATTATTACGCAAATAAATAAAGCGAAATTAGTTTTAAAATCGATTCTTTCGATCAATAATTATTTGAAATGCTGGTGTTGATGACGCTTGCACAATTTAAATTATATTTTATTGATTGGAAGGAAAATATTTTCGATCGATGTTCGATCGAATTAAATTAATTTAAAAATGTATTTATTTTATATGTTTAATAAAGAAATAATCGAAAAACGCAATTATTAATTAAGTTAAGTTTAGTTTTAATAGATTTCGTTAGATACTTTCCATCTTAAAATTTTAATTCATCTTTGTACGGTTTTAATAAAATTTTAAAAAAGATAAAGAGTAATTGAAAATGTCGACGACATCTAATTAAGTATAACGACTCGCAGGACTGGATCCTTTGTCGTTTTTCAAGGCGTCACCTCGCCATGGAGCCCTTGCATAATAATTTAGAAGGTGGCAGCTCCAGCCTTGAGCAGTAATTTTTCCTCGTTTTTTGCCCTCAATTATTAGCGGACGAAAAGTAATAAGAATGCTAAGAGGAAAGAATAATTGGTAGTTTTCAAATTCTTCAGTTTTAATCACCGAAAAAGGTCGTTATCCAATAAAAATAAAAACCATCTTCGCGAAGCAAGTCTTAAAATGAGAGTAAAAGAGGCGCAAAAGTTGTTCAGTATCATTTTATACGGATCGTAAAAGTCGGTTTCAAAATACTAAAAGGGGTTTTCGCTTGGGTCCATTTATGAGTCATTTTCCCTTTTTTTTTTGTTTCGTGGAGAAATAAAATGGACAATAGGAATAAAATAAGGGATTAAACAATTTTTACATCACAATTTTTGGAGTAGTGCCCAACGACCATCATCACAAGATATAATTTTGGTTACATAACTTTATAGTTATTATATTGGCCAAAGTCCAATTTGCTTAACCCTTAAAGATCGGATCGTTTAATAGGAAGCAATTTGCGGTCCATTAGACGTTATTTTCCAGCACGTAAATTTTCCGTCGATAATAAAAGTTTTTGGGGAGGAAACTTTTTAAAAGACTTTCTCGTTCGAACGTTTTAGAGACGCGAAAAACTACTCCCTTTTTATCTCTAGTTGCAGTTCGATGGTCACGTTTCCGAGACAACGATCAAATGAAATGCAATTGACGAGTATTGGAAATTAACATCAGGACGACGACAAAAAAACGATAATACAAAAAAGAAACCTCAGACCGAGGAAACCAGAAAAAAAAAATAAAATACGTCGCTTACCGGAGTCGGAACGTTGGGAACCCCGCTTATCTCCTTTACCCATGGCTGCCAACTTGTGAGCGGCAATTTTTCTCTTGACCCGGGACCTGGAAGTAATTCAATCGGTTTGGTTATTTATTTACAGGCTACAATTCGAAAATTCGGTAATAAAACTGTTGCTTTCAAATAAGATATGAAATAGATTTATGTATGTGTATAATTAATATTATACATGTAATTAATTAGTGTTTTAATACTTTTAAAATATAAATGTCACTTTTTTTATACTTGTCAAATTTTTAGGGTTTTTGTTGGTATTATCTAGGGTTTTCACAAAACTATAAATTAAGTTAGAGACGTTTCTTTTGAGGTTGACAGTTCTATTCGAATTCACATAACCTCAAATATTATTTTAAAAAATCTGTCAATGAAAATGATTTAAAACCGAATAGACTGCACGTATTCAGCTTTTAACACATAATTTTACCATTAGGTGGCTTCATTTCCAATATAAAATATCTAATCAATCAATTTAGAAAGTTTAAAAACAGCCAAACACATCCAAAATTCAATATTAATCCAGTTTTATAAAACCACAAATAATATTGGATTTGTCATAATAATTTGAGGTGGGTAAATAATTACGCATATCAAATTAGCGTTATTTTTTGTTGAATTAAAATAAGCGAACCGAATAATTTCCTAAAAAGCAATTAGTCGACGTACACGTCACGCTGGTTGCAATGTGTAGCAAGTTTTAACGCGATTTTCGTGCTTCGATAATTGAAAACTATGCTCGGGGATTACACGTTTCGCATACTGTAATATTTACAGTATTCCTTGTTCTCTTAATTTGTTTATTCGCGTTCCATATTTACACTAAAACGTGTCACCCATTTGTGCAAAAGGTAAATATGTAAACAGCAAAAAAACCAGACGATTTTTTAAATTTTTAATTTCATCGCCAATAAATTATAATTAGCTCTTGCAGCAACAAGATCTCCTATCCTTTAAAGAAAAGGAGAGAAATCCCAATATTGAAGCTGCGGATACCGATGGAAATGAGAAAAGTATTCCTTGGAGGCATACAAGCTAAATGAACGCGATTTTCCGTGTAGCAATAAGAGAGGTGATACAGAAAATTGGAAAACATAAAAAAACTCTTAAAAACTTTGAGTTAACCTTAGATTACTGCAAGAATCTTAAACCTGGTTACAAACTAAATTACCTATTTCAGCTTAATCCTATTTTTTTTTTATTTATAAAAGGTTAACTAGTAATTTCTATTACCATCTTTGCGTAAGCAATTTTTATTACCACACCAACAATGGGAGGATGGTAATTCACCTTTCGCGCTTTATTTCTTATTCGATTTCAGCAAACGATGACGAAAGATCATTTCGCTACTGCGACTATGACATTTCGCGAACATTCAAGACTTATTCAACACCAGAAAATTAATAAAACAAAGTGTTAAGGTTCTTTCTAATTGCTAATCTCACCTTGCAAACGAATCAAAAAAATTACGTCGTACAAAAGCTGCGTTTGTAGACACAACACCGAAGGAAACGGGGAGATGCTTCTAGTTTTCCTTTCAGGACGACACTGAACCCCCAAACTACCCCCTGAAACCAGGGGAATGTCATCTTTTCAAAACCCTGTTGCATTAGGGATGCTGAAAATTCAGATTTTTAGCGACATCTATTGGGGAGGAGGGATGGTTGCTTTAAATGTTTCATAGATGGCACTTTAAATATTTAAAGAATTATTTTTAGATAAAAATCAATAAAACGTACTATTTAAATAATAATACAACAATTAAACAAACAAAAAGAATTAATAAAACATCAAATTAATGATAAATAAATTTTAACGGGAAATAAAAAACCCAACATGATAAGAAATAACGATGAGAAATCATCAGTTACAAATAAAGCCTCACATAAAATAAAATTATTCAAAAATAATTTTGAATTATATATGAATTAAATTAATGTTAGGAATTCTTTATTAACTCAAAACTTAAATTAAAATTAATTTTGAAATTATCATATTTAATTTCAAAATTGACATGAAGATAGTTTGATACGGTTAAGTTAGAAACCAACTTCACACAGCTTCTCCAGACATCAATTTACATCAAAATAAGAGAACTCGGAACGATTTCAAAGTGCTATTAAATTAATCGAAAGAATCGCATAAACCCCAGGTGTGTTTATAAAACGAAGCCTGACGACAGCTTTAAAAAACAGCCTTAAAACCAATTAAGAAGTTTACAAAAGAAAACGGCGAATTGATTGTTTTACCACATAATCATCGGGTATGTTTAGATTTTGAAATTTTCCTGGAACGAATTGCTCATAAACAAAACGGCTCAAAATATCACTTAAACGAAATGGCTCAGTAAATTTACGGCAAACCGTCCTGTTATTGTAAAAAAATGGCAACTGCTTGTGTAAGTAACGATGAATTTTGGAAAGAATGTACGGATTGGTTGATAAGATGGGGTATTTTACGTCCCGATCATCAAGCTAATCTTCCCGATGCTAATATTGGCGATTTAGCAAATACCTTAAGGGATGGAGTTATTCTTTGTAAATTACTTAATAAAATTGATCCACAATGTATCGATATGAAATTAGTTAATTTAAAACCTGCATTTGCAAGGGTATGTACATGTTTAAACATAAACTAAGTTTTTTTAATTGTATTAATTTTTAGTTTTTGTGTTTGAGAAACATTGGACTATTTTTAAATGCTTGTAAAAACAGTTTTCTCATTTCCGATCATGATTTATTCGAAGATACCATGTTATTCGATTTATATAATTTCCATAAAGTTTTATGTACTTTATCAAAATTATCTTTATCACATAAAGTCTCAAAAACAATTGTGTAAGTATTTTAAGTTATCTGAAAAATTTTTTTTTTTTAATTTTTTTGTTATTGCAGAGGATTTCATGCGAAAAACAGTAAATCACGGGAGGAAGAAGAGATCTATCAATGTCTACAATCCAAGTAAGTTTTTTAGTTTAATAAATTTCCTTAAAAAAAGTTTGTAATTAAAAAAAAATACGGTTTTTGAAGAATTAGCGAAATTAGATCTCCTAATGTAAACGTATTGGGTCCAAGTTGGCTACAATTTCAAATTCGTTGCCCCCAAATGGGAGATAGAGATGAAGAGGTTTACGATGATTTATGTTACGTGACATTTACGCGTTTAAGTGATGAGGTTTGCACCAAAAAACCTTTTTGAATGTTACTTTTTGTTTTATCTGCGTTTTTTCGTAGATCCTCAAGTAAAAAAAATCTAATTTTTATTATTAATTTTGTGCTAATACAATCTAATTTTATGCAACGTTTGCTTTATTATGCATTAATTTTCATCGGCTAATATGACTAAAAACAATATGTGTACTTGGTGTCCCGATGAGAGTATGGAACGGTTGTATCTCAATAATGGTAAGACCAAGAGAAATACAGTTTAGTGGTAGATGTGCTTAGCAGTTATCCAAAGTAAGGATGGCTTTTTTAAAATTGATTTCATCAAAACATCATCTCCTGGATCATTCAACCAATTTAAATATTTTTGGTCTTGTTTGAAACAGCTCGATATACAGCCACTCTGTACTCTTATTGAGACACCTGGCACAACATTAATGTTATAGATCAAAACGTTGAATGCAAAAATCGATCCATTAAAAAGTGTAGCACAAAATTATAAAATAATAAAAATTCTATTTTATTAATTTACCTTAGAGAAACATTGCATTATATTTATAAATCAATTTTTATTTTATTTTTATTTCTTTTTGTTACCATTAGAGAACCGCCTAAATATGATGCACTTAATGATATATACAGTCCAATTATAGAACAAGACTTTGAAAATACTTATCAATCTTTTGTGCATGATAAATTACCAAAAGCTGTAAGTTCTTTCTTTATGTTATTATTTTGCTTGCATTTTTAAAATAACATTAAATAATAACACTTAAATTAACCAATTTTTTTTTGAAGCAATCAATTGATGAACCTTGTGAAAAACGTGATCACGTCATCAAAGAACTAATAGACACCGAAAGAAATTACGTTGAAGTTTTAACAAAACTCTACAAAAATTTTTATTTAAAACTTCGAAACACAATGACTCCGGATGTTTTAGAAACAATTTTTTATAAAATACGCGTAAGAATCATTTAATTAGAATACGAATTAATCAATTAATTTATTTATTTATTTTTAGGAACTTTGCGAAACCCACGAAATGTTTTTAGATCAACTCGGAAAATTAGGTTCGGTTAAATTAAGCCACATATTCATAAATATGCGAGAATCGTTCTTAGTTTATGGTGAATATTGCGCAAATTTATCGAATGCTTACGCAGTACTTCAGGATCAATGCGAAAAACACCCAGAAATTGGGGTGAAAGTCGAAGAATTAGAGAAGCAAGTTAATAATGGTCGTTTTAAATTAAGGGACGTCCTTTCAGTACCAATGCAACGAGTTTTAAAATATCACCTTTTACTAGAAAAATTAGTAGAATACACCGATCCAAAACACGAAGAATACAAGGACTTAAAAAGTGCGAGAGAGTGTATGATCGATGTAAATGGCTACATAAACGAATATTCGCGCGATACTGAATTAAAAAGTGTTATAAAACAAATTAGAGAGAATATAACGAATTGGGATGCACCAATTGGTTTAGAACAATGTGGGAAATTGGTTAAAGACGGGGAATTAAAGATAAAACCGCATGATGATGGGAAAATAAGAACGAGATATGTATTTATTTTCCAAAAATACGTAATTTTATGTAAAGCGCAAAAAGATGGGAAATTTACCTATCGCGATATTATGTCTTTAAACGAAATGGAGATACAAGAGTGTAATAATCGTGCCATTTTGAATCAAAATGCTCGATGGGGTTACCAATGGATTTTATTTAAAAACATTTATTCGACTGCTTATACTTGTAGCGTTCGAACAATTCAATTAAAAGAACAAATGGTTAAAGCTTTAAGGGAATGTATGTAAGTAATATTAATAAATTGGGACAAAATATAGTAAAATCTCAATATAATGGATGAGAAAACTAACTGTGCGTCTTTTAAGACTGCTAAACCCGAATGTTTCTAGTTATAGAGTTAGTTCTAATGCTAGTGTTAATTCCCTCATCCGTTATATCGAGGTTTTACTATATTTTAATGGATTCATATTAATTTCTAATATTTAATTTTTTAGAGATAACTTAAAATTGCCTGAATTCGCAAATAAAACTCACAAATTTGAAATGTACACGTTTGATAAACCGACACTTTGCTGGGTTTGCGCAAAATACTTAAAAGGTCTCCTCTTCCAAGGTTATTTTTGTAAAGAGTGTGGCTCGGCCGTTCATCGCGATTGTATTCGAACTGTTGGAAAATGTGGAACTCCGCCCCCATTAACCGCCGCTCGACCCGCTTTAACCCCAACCGTACCAAACATTAACGACCCTAACGAAAAATTGAAAGAGAAATTGTGGTTTGTTGGTGAAATGGATCGTCAAACTGCTTCTGCGAGACTCCAAGCTAGAGCTAATGGTACATTTTTGGTTAGGCTGCGTTCAGAAAGCGATGATAATGTTAAATATGCGTTAAGTTTAAAAACTGATAACACAGTTAAACATATGAAAATATGTGCAACGGTGGATAATGTTTGCCCTAAATATTTTCTATCAAGCGCTAAATATTTTAATTCCTTAGAAGAGTTAATTGGGAATTATCAATTACACAGTTTAAAAGAAAGCTTTGAAAGGTTACAAGAAAGTACTAAATTAGAATATGCTTTTAAAAATATGCGAGCGGTTGCTTTGAGAGATTATGAAGCGAGGGATGAGAAACAAATGTCTTTGAGAGCTGGCCAAGAAGTGATTGTTTATAGACAAGAAGGTTATAGGGATGGTTGGTGGATGGGGAGTTCACATACAAATGGAAGAACTAAAGTAAGTTGTTTTATTTTTTTTTTTTAATAAAATTTGATGAATTTTTTTTCAGAATGGATTTTTTCCAGTCGACTGCGTTCAAATCTTAGAATTATTACATGCTCAATAAAAATATAATTAAAAAAATATATGGAGTGCCATTCGCGAAAATAAATTTATTAAATACCACATTCCCTGCCGATTTCAGTATTTGCAGTGCCAAGAACTAAGTTTACATCTGGTTAATTCCAAAAAAGAATTAAATTAAATTTTATCAGATGTACTCATGGCCTTATTTTGAATCATATCAGGCAGAGTGGAGTTTATTTTATTAATTTCTCATCGCACAAAGAGATACGTAACATTTTTTCTTTTTAAAACGGCTTTTTTAAATCGTCCATTTCGGCAACGAAGCGTTAACATAATTTTTTTATGAAAAATGCAAGATATAGGCCTAAAACAAAAAAATATAAATAAATAAATTACAGTTTTAACGTTTTTAAAAAGGAAATAATTATATAAATTATACTATATAAAAAAAAATTTATTCTGCACGCGTTTTAAGTGCTCAAAAATTTCTGATATAGAGAGCTCAACGTCTCCGGATTTTTAACGTAAATAAAAGCGATGTTGTATTTTACTTATTTTATTATGTATTTGTAGATATTTATATATGTATCGTTTAATGCAAATGTATTTTATGTTATTTAAATTTTTTAATTCATTTAAATCCTTCATAAAAAATTATTGCATGAACAATATGATTTACATACAACTATTTAAATATATACAAAATAATAAAAAAAAAACTAATACAGGATGGGTTGCAAAGCAAAGTAAGATGTGCTTTGTTTTGCTTATCTTATATTTAATCTATGAAAAAAACGTGAATTTTTGAAGAAGTGAATTTATATCTAAGAAGCCGCCAAACTCTGCAAGGAAAGCGAGAACATTTAAATAGGAAATGTAAAATGTTCAACAAGTTGCGCGATAAAGATGATACCTGACGAAGAACTGCAAACGTGACAACCCCTGAAAATTTAACGATGCGACTTTTCTATATAAAGAAAATTTTCGAAATCACTTGTGGGTGAGATACAAGTTGATGAAGAACCTGGTACCAACCATGAAGAAGACTGATTTTCTTCGATGTTAGCAGATAAGATAACACCTTTACTGACATTAACATTCCATCTTATAAACTCCTTGTAGTTCCAGGCTACTCCTATAGTATTATCCTAGATCTCCCGGAATATCCAGGGCTTCTCAATTAATTTTGCATTTCCCAAGGTAAGTAAATAAAAAAACTAGGAAAATGGATTATACAGGGTGTGTCAAATGTCTGGAATATAGCCAATAACTTCGCCATATGAGGTTTTAAAGAAAAATATTTGAGATAAAAATGTTTTGATTAATTGTGGCGCATTTTTTGGCGATATTTGGTTGTTTACATTGTTTTTTGATTCGTTGCTATGGCAACCAACATTGTTATTTTAAATGGGATGCATGTTTTTTTTAAAGAGGATTTAGCGAATTTATTATATTCGGGACATTTGACACATCCTGTATGTTATTAGATTTTCGAACTTATTTCTTTGTACTTTAAACGTCGGTTCTAATGCTTAGGTTATGAACATAACATCAGAAATAAGTTCTTCCATAGATGACGAGGGATTTTATTCAAAACGACCTGGTGTTAACAATCAATGTGGAGGAAAAAGTACCGCAAAATGTAAGTAATATAAAAATTAAACAAGTTCTATTATAAACATTCATTTATTACGTAACTAAAGAAACAAAAAGTTCATTCAAATCCAATTGAATAATACAAATACAAACTATAAACAACACTGAAAGAAAATTTTTATTATCAGTCGGTAATCAATCGCGGGGCACTGTGTTTGACGAAACAAAAAATATTGAATAAACATATCAATCAGTTCATCATGCACCTTCCGAACAAAGAAAAAACTAATAAAAAATAGTACAAAAAGGTGGCCACATTTTATGCACTGCTTTTATTATTAGCTACCCCACCATACCACCTTTCATTTCCACAGTGGTACACTTTTAATAAAAACCCGTACCTACAGATCCACAAGGCGACAACGTCCATCACAATTCGAACTTTATTTATAAAAAAAAATTATTTAATTTGGTTATTTTTATACAAACGAAACGGAACTCTAATTTTTCTCTTCTTTTTTAGCCTTTTGGTCTTCTGCACTTTGTTGCTCTGTTGAACTTTGTTGTTGTTGTCCGCTGGCGCCTTCTCTTTCAGAAGCCATCTATATAACAAAAAAAAATTAATGAAAAATATTAAAAATTTATGTTTTTCGTTACCTTTTTATAAGCCATTTCAAATAATTTAAGTGATTGTTGTTGAAGGGCGCTAGTTGTCTTACGAATTTCTTCCGGATCGACATCATCTTTTTTAGCTAATAGTTCTCTTACTTTTGCAGTTTCTTCTTTCAATTTATCACACTAAAAAAATAAAATAATTACAAAAAAACGAAGATGTGTATAAAATTATAAATTTACCTCTTCTTTAGGTAACTGATCTTTAAACTCTTCCATTTTCGTTTCGGTATCATGCACAATTCCCTCTGCTTGATTAATAGCTTCAACTCTATCTCTTTTAACTTTATCAGCCTTTGCATATTGTTCGGCATTTTTAACCATATTTTCAATTTCATCTTTGCTAAGTCCTCCAGATGATTGAATAACAATTTGTTGTTCCTTCCCAGTTCCCTTATCTCTTGCGGAAACGTGTACGATACCATTAGCGTCGATATCGAAGGTAACCTCAATTTGAGGGACACCACGTGGTGCTGGAGGAATTCCAACAAGGGTGAATTGTCCCAAAAGTTTATTATCGCCTGCCATTTCACGTTCACCTTGATGGACTTTAATTTCAACTTGAGTTTGTCCATCGGCTGCTGTTGAGAAAACTTGGCTCTTTTTAGTTGGAATTGTTGTGTTTCGAGAGATTAATCGTGTAAATACTCCGCCAAGGGTTTCAATGCCAAGAGAAAGTGGGGTTACATCAAGTAATAGAACATCGGTAACATCTCCAGCTAGAACACCGCCTTGAACGGCAGCTCCAACGGCTACAGCTTCGTCTGGATTAACCGCACGACTTGGTTGTTTTCCAAAAATATCTTGAACGGTACTTTGTACTTTTGGCATTCTGGTCATTCCACCGACCAATAATACTTCACCAACCTCGGACTTTGAAATTTCAGCATCTTTAATTGCTTTTTGACATGGTTGAATTGTCTTTTTGATCAAATCACCTACTAAACTCTCAAATTTCGAACGAGTCAATTTTAAATTCATGTGTTTAGGCCCGGAGGCATCCATTGTTAAATATGGCAAGTTAATATCAGTTTGAAGTGATGAAGAAAGTTCAATTTTTGCTTTTTCTGATGCTTCCTTCAAACGTTGCATCGCCATGGGGTCTTTAGTGATATCAATACCTTGTTCGCGTTTAAATTCGGAAACTAAATGATTGACCAAAACGTTATCAAAGTCTTCACCACCTAAGAAAGTGTCGCCGTTGGTTGATTTTACTTCAAAAACACCCTTTTGTATTTCCAAGACGGAGATATCAAAAGTTCCACCACCCAAATCATAAACAGCAATAATTTTATCTTCTGTTTTGTCCATCCCGTAAGCTAAAGCAGCAGCTGTAGGTTCATTAATGACTCTTAAAACGTTTAAGCCGGCAATTTGACCGGCGTCTTTTGTGGCTTGACGTTGGGAATCGTTGAAGTAGGCCGGAACAGTGACAACAGCATTTTTAACTTTTGTGTTTAAATATTGTTCGGCGGTTTCTTTCATTTTAATTAACACAAAAGCCCCGATTTGACTTGGAGAGTACATTTTACCATCGGATCCTTGAACCCAAGCGTCCCCATTTGAGGCACGTACGATTTTATATGAGACGTTATTCCTGTTATTAAAAAAAGAAATAAAAGAAAAATTCAAGAATCATCATGTAGCTTAAAAATCGACGATTTTTTTTAATCAATGTGAAGTGACACAAAAAACACGTTAAAAATAGAAAGAAAATGCGGAAAAGTGTAGAACATACCAAAAAAACACATTAAAGTTTCGATATGACGTCGCGTTTTGTGACGTTCTGTGTTTTGGCAGCAGTATATAGTATTCTGGATCTAGTCTTTCCAACAATATTTAGCATTCTGAAACTAGTTAATTGTTTGTTGGAAACAGTATCTTGTCTTTCCAAGCAGATAATATAGCCTCTCCCAGCAGTATTTAGTCTTCTCCAAGCAGGTCATAATCTTCTCAAGTAGTATATAGCGCTCTAAAAGCAGTAAGTAAAAGCAGTTGTTTGTTAGCACTATCTAGCCTTCTCCAAGCAGATTGTAATCTTTTGCACCATTATCTTGCATTTTGGAAGCAGTAGGTAGCTTTTTTGCAGGCATATCTCTTCTTTCCAAGCAGTTATTAGTCTTTTCCAGCAGTATCTAACTTTCTGGAAGCAGTAGGTAGCTTTTTGGAAAGCATATCTCTTTTCCAAACAATTATTAAAGTCTTTGAAAGCTATAAGTAGTCTTAGAAGCACTATTCTGCCTGTTCAAGTAGGTCAAAACCTTTAACAGCAGTACCTAATCTTTTCCAAGTAAGTTGTGGTCTTTTTCTGCAGTATCTAGCATTTTAGAAAGAGTAGGTAACTTTTTGAAATAGTATTTTCTCTTTCCAAGCAGTTTATAGTCTTTTACTAGCAGTATTTAATCTTCTAATAGCAATAATTAGTCTTTTACCAACAGTATCTAGCATTCAGGAACCAATAAGCTAAAGAGGAGTACAACATCACGTAAGATTTTAGGTTATCTTTAGTTTATAGATGGTAAACAACGACATTTTAGTCGTTGTGCGTCGAAAACCTAAGAAACAACCGTATTTAACTCAAAAATATGCATTTTAACCAAATGTGCTGCGATAATGTATGGTTAGCACAATCGTTGAAGTCACATCGAAACTTTAAAGTGATTTTTCAGTAAGTTTTATACTTTTCCGCACTTTTTTTTCATTTGTAATGGCTTACTTGAGTAATTTCTAATTAACTAATTACATACATGTCTTTTTTAACTTCTGGATCTTCAAATCGGCGACCAATTAAACGTTTAGTTGCGTAAAAAGTGTTGGAAGAGTTAGTTACAGCTTGTCTTTTCGCGGGCATACCAACTAATCGTTCTGAATCTTTCGTAAATGCTACGATGGAAGGTGTAGTGCGGGATCCTTCGGAATTTTCGATTACTTTGGCTTGTTTGCCTTCCATAACAGCTACACATGAGTTGGTAGTGCCCAAATCAATCCCGATAACGGCCCCTTTAACCCCTTCGGATCTAAACAAAGTATAAAATAAATTTTTGGGTAATTTCGGAAAAGTTAGGTTATGTCAACTTACTTGTTCCGTAATTGATCGTAACGCGGATAAAATACTGCTGCGTTGGCCTGAAACGGAAAAATTTAACGCATTTTAACGTAATCATATCGAAAAGGAACCGAAACGGCTCGAAATGAGAGTGTAAATTCTAGAATTACGCAAGAAACGAGCCGCTAAGAAAATGTGACAACTTACATTTTTCAAAATGTGCGAATAATTTCGGCGTTGATGCGCTTCCGCACCCAATTTCGCACAGTCGATAGCTCTGCGGCCCAATACTCTTGCTGCGGTCAACATTTTCGTTAGGTTTTTCTTGGAGTTTATCGTTGAAAAAACTCGGTTTTCACGTGCTCGATACCGACTGCCGGATCTTTCAGAAATGAAAAGGACGGACTTCTCGAATTGGTTGTTGCGCACAACCTCACGACCAATCACAGCGGGTTATTTTGACGCGGGATATTTAAATGTAATTCTAGAAAATTCCTATTAAGGCTATTACCGTATTATCTCAAAAGATAAATTTAAATTTATTATTTCGAATTGGTTTATTTATTCGTATTGTTTGTGATAATTACGCAATATTAAATAATTTATTTTGATGAAACAAGTTTTATGATGAAGTTAATTTTTTTTTAATTTAAAGGAATATATATTATTTAAGTTTTTATATATTATAACCCAAGATAATGTTAGACTAATTTTAATATTTATTTTACATTAATTTTTTTTATTTAAAACTTAACAATTAATAATTTATGGCGCCATCTTTAGGCGTTTTAATTAGAAAGGTATTAATTCAATTTAAATTACAATTTTTGATAACACTTCTTTTTATTAAATTATAAAACGATTTTAAACAATCGTTTGAAACATTTTACATTAACTATATAATAAAAATTATTTATATCAATTACGTTTATTGAATAAACAAATTTTTAGGTTGGCAACAAAATCAAAAAAAAAAGTTAGGTTATGTTGTAAAGTGAATGCCAATTTCTGCAAAAGTTACTAAGAAAAATGGAATTAACATCAGATTTAATAACGGTGCAAGGGCTTTTATTGAGTTCGGTGAAAGCCGCAGGGAGCTTTCTTAAAATTCTCTACAAAGGAGGTAAATTTTTAATTTATTATCTATCGAAATAATCACACATTTTTTTATAGGTAACGAGATGAAAATAGCAAATATTGTTAAAGAACTTGAAGAATTCCTCGAATGTAAAAACTACATAAATAAGCGTAAGATCGTTAAAACTTCTTTAAAAGAATTAGAATCCATCACATTTTTCTTAATCGTAAATTCGCAATTTACGAAAAATCAAATTGAATTAATTCCAAAAGAATACTCAAATTTAGTTAACATAACTCCCACGTTATCTCAATGCTTATTAGTAAATATAATAATTGATTTGGGATTAGTTGAACCTTATTGCGGAGCTCTACATTTAATTCCAATAGAACTTTGGGGACATTTACTTAATGAAATGATAATGTACCTTAAAAAATGTTCCCCAGAATTATCAATCGAATACAGTTACATTGTTATTAAAAATATAATCATAAAAATTGGTTGTTTGGATAACGAAATAAAACAACAAAGTCTAATAATAAATTCATTAGAAGATAACACAAAACAATTATTACTAAATTGTTCTCTGAGTAACATCCAAGCAACTCCAGGTTTGATTAAACATCGAAAACACAAATTAATGGGTGCTGCTTTTTTATCGATTTTGAAATTATTAAAATTGTGCCAAATTGAGAATAAATCATTGTTTATTACAATCGAAAATCTAGTAAACACCGCTTCTAGTTTAATGACCGTGGTTACAATAGATGTTTTTTGTACTTGGGCTGAAATTAAGCAAGGTGATTCACCATTACAACTAATAATAAGTGAAGAAGCGTACCAAATAATTGAAAAATATCAAAAATTTAAACCAGCAAAAGAATTTATACAAATGTTGGGTTCCGTTGCAAAGAAACCTCGCACAATTAGCGATCAAATCCGAACTGCAAATGTTGATACGATAATTCGTAAAGTTTCCGAAGATTCTGAAAATCGTACAAAGTGGTTTCGAGCTTTTCTATTAACGGATGTGTTTGCTAACTCAGCATCAATTGAGTGTTTAAAGGAGAATTATCAATTATGTACATACCAAGACATAATTTACTTATTAAAAAAGTTAATTTATGTTAAAACGTCCGAAAATATCGATTTATTTATTCAATGTACTTTGAATTTAAATAATACTGATTTAAAATCTTTATTAATGCGGCATTATTATGATAATGGATTAAAAAATAATTTGGGGGGTGACCAAAATCTAATTGAACAACAATTAATTTTTATCTTAAATAAATTGGATTCGAATAAAAACAATTTATTTCGAGAAATAATTTTGCTGCTTCTACGTGAACCAAAAATGGTGCTAAAACATCTTTATAAAGATTGTGTTAAAAGCGGGTTAGTTCTTGATTATTTAACAGAAACATTTCATGAATTGGAAGATTTTATTGAAGTGGAAGATTTATTTTTGGTGATTTTAAAAGAAATTTTAACCGAAATTAAATTGGAGAGTGGAAATTTAGATAATTACAAGCGATTATTTTCGGTTATTTCAATAAAACCATCGAGTTGTAAAAAATTAATTAACGAAATCTTAAAACCGAATTGTTTTAAATATTTTCAAGATAAAAACGATGAAGATTTAAAGTTATTATTGATCATATATTTGGAGTTGATTAATTTTGTTCCTTCTGAAAATGAAGAAGTGATTATTGAGGTGTTAAATTTTTGTGGGAGCGTTTTAGTAAATCGTCGTTGGTTAATTTACGATTTTTCTTACGTTAAAGTTGAGTTGTGTACATTATGTAGGGATTTTTTACTCGCACATAAGAATTCGCCAATATTTCCTACGTTTCAAACTCCAATTCATCCACTTAATGGATATTGTTTATCAAAAATTGATCAAGAAGAGTTTTTTGACAAACTTGTACCAACAATTTTTAATAGAGACCAACAAGTACCTTGGGTTTTAAAAGTAAATTCATCTTCATTAATTATTTCTTTATAACAATTTTTATTTCTTAGGTTTTACCGCTTTGTTTACCCGACGAATTAACAAAGATAGCGCAACGTTTAATTGAAAAATTAAATGAAATAGAAACTATCAGCCGCTTCGTCGTCGCTTTAGTATTAATTTCTGAGTTGGTCCAAACGCAACCTCAAGAAGGACCGGACAACATGAAGAACGGTTTAAAGTATTGTTTACATAATTTTGGGTATATTTTAAAAAATCTAATTATTCCTTTAAATCGGGATGAAATCAACGTTGTGATGGCGAGAAAACTTGGGGTGTTATTGAATCATTTGCCAGCGGATTTCGAAGATATTGAAGGGTTCTCATTAGCTGGATTAATTCCTGATCAGACTTTAAAAGATTTATCAAGAAATAAGAATTTTTTGGATGCTATAAAAGATATGAAATATCGAAAAGTTGCTATTAGTTTTGTTAAAAGAATGTTAAAATAATTTTTTTTTCAACTTAAAAGGTATCAGTAAATAATTTGACCATCATTCAAATACCATAGAATTTAAAATGAGAATTTTTCTCATCTTTTTGGTGAGTGTAATTGATATTTTCAGCTGTCATTAAAATAAATTATTTCATTATGTCAATCCACCTAATTTACAAAATCACTAAAATCGTAGTATTTCAACGCTGTCAATGTCAAACGTCAAATTTAAAATTGTGTCACAAAAATTAATTCAATTTGATATCAAACCAAAACAGTCGACATTAAAACTCAGTTGTCGTTTCGAATAAAACTAACACTAGACCTAGAATCATTCGGGTTTAGCATTAGGGATATAATGTAAGTATATTTACAATAAAGACACAAAATACAACAGCTAACGGAGGGTGACACGTGGTGTGACGTATTGGTCCTTTTAGATTCTACCGACCTTGTCTTCAATAAATAAAAATGTTGTAAGCGAGATCTTACCAAACAAATTTAATTTACACAACAAAACGAACGTTGAATTTTAATTCTTTTGAGTTCAAAAAGTTCGTTTTTGATTTTTGGGTTAAAATTTATTTGTTATATAACCCCAAATAAAAGAAAAAAAAGTTTGATTTCGATTTCGTTTTAACCTGTATTTAGTGGTTGGGGTAGGAAAACGAAAAGAAACTCGTTAGAAAGCCGAAATTGAATTTAAAATAGTTGTTGAATCTATTGGAGCGCGTTTTGCAATATATCTCTGTCACGTATCCCGCTTTGCACATATCAACGTTCATTATTTTTGACCTGGGTTAATAACACGTCTTTTGAATAACGAATTAGATTGTTTGTGGTTGTGTGTATAAAAGGACAGATTGTGTGGGTGTTAAATCAGAACGATTCCTTTATTTGAAGAAAACGGATTAACTCTAAAAAAAAATAAAAATGAACATACTTGTAAGTACTAAAATTTAAATCAAAGTCGATAAAGTAGTTACCATTATTCTTTCAGGTTATTTTCGGATTAATTTTAATTTCAACAAAAACTCAAGGAGTTGAAATTCTCACTCAACATTTTCCATTTATAGTAAATTACGCAACATCGATAAATTCCCATGTTATTAACCATAACGTTCAAGCTCCAATAATTCCAGCTCGTTTAGTTCAGCCAAATCAACTAATCCAACCTCAAAAAATTACATTTTCAACATTCCCAATTCAAGAAAACCCCAACAAATTTATAAATTTCAACGTTGATTCTCAGCGGGGGAACGAAAATTATCAACCAAACGATGAAAGAAATGAATCAATCGAAGTTGAAGCCGCTGGTTTAAATGAGAAGTCATCGAAGTTACAAAAACCGCAAGATTTTAACGAAAAAAGTCGGGTTTTGATGAAAAATAACCTTCCAAGTGGGTTTGTTTTTCATTCGAGAGTTGTATCCGATGAAAATTTAGCCAAACAAGATCAAATCGGAGCTTTTAGAATTGGTAAAGTTAAGCAAGACTTTAAAAATGAAGAATTGCAAAATAATCGGCAAGATAATAATGAAAGGAATCAAAGTAAAAGAAAAGAGCAGCCACAAGAAATTCGTTTAAATCAGTTTGGGAGGATAATAACTTTTTAATCAAGTTTTTTATTGATAATCTTGTACAATAAAATTTATTTTTAAGTTTATATAGTTACAATTAACCTTGGTATTTTTTTATTGTTACAATGGACATAAGAGTATATTTGAATAACATTGCCAAATTTTGTTGTTAATGATAGCGATATAAGCGACATCTAACAGTAGAAAGGAGAAACTATTACACTGTTAAGTTAGATACAAGACGAAATAAATTAACTTGTCAACTTGGTAAAAACGTATCGTTGTATGTTTTATAAAAATAAGTTGTAATAAAACGTTTTTAACAAAACGGTTCAGTGAAGCAGTAGTTTCTTGTGTATTTGAGAACCATAAAAGAATCCCAGAATAACATTTAGGAGATGAATCATGAACTTAGCCAAACTAAATTGTCGAAAATCTGTGTGATATAGTCAAGGTTTTAAATAAAATCGGTTTCGTTAACAATATTAAAGATAATTGATAATTTAGATTAGATAAAATGCTTGAAATAATTTGTTTTGCAGTAACTTTTTTATTTTCAATCATGATTGACTCAATTTTAAATTTCCATTTTTATTTTTTAAACTATATTTTTCCGACGATTGTATTTATAGTTTCCATTATAATAATTTACTTTAACTGGTCGTACAATTATTGGAAACACCACCATTTACCATTTAACCCACCAATTTTTCCTTATGGTAATATAAAAGAAATCATTAATGAAGAAAAAACGTTTGGGCAAGCTGTTGGAGACGTTTACAAAAAATTTAAATCAAAAGGACACATGCACGCGGGTTATTTTCTTCTACACCAACCGATTTATGTTCCAATTGATTTAAATGTGATTAAGCACATCCTTCAAATCGATTTTAATCATTTTATGGACCACGGAACTTATTACAACGAAAAACAAGATCCATTAAGCGCACATTTGTTCTCGATTGAAGGTGAAAAATGGAAAAATCTTCGAGTTAAACTCACGCCAACTTTTACCTCGGGTAAAATGAAAATGATGTTTCCCATTATGGTAGATATTTCAGAAAAATTAATTCAATCTGTTCAAAATGGGGGTTTAAATAAAGTCGAGGTTAAATCGTTAGCGGTACGATTTACAACTGATATTATCGGTTGCTGTGCTTTTGGGATTGATTGTAACAGTTTGGAAGATCCAAACGCGGAATTTTGCGTTCAAGGAAAACGAGTTTTCACAATGACTCGACTTGAATGGTTAAGATCATTTATTTGTTTTATTTGTCCGAATTTTTCGAGATTTATCGGATTAAGATTTTTACCGAAAGGACCAACAAGTTTCTTTTGGAACATTATTAAAAACAATGCCGAACTTCGAGAAAAAACTGAAATTAGAAGAAACGATTTTTTCCAGCTATTATTAGATTTGAAGAATGGTGATGAAAAGTTGAGTTTTCAAGAACTCGCCGCCCAAGCTTTTTTATTCTTCGCCGCTGGTTACGAGACATCTTCACTAACGCTTTCTTTAGCTTTGTATGAACTGAGTAAAAATGAGGAGGTCCAAAATAAATTAAGGGAAGATGTTTTAAATGTTATTAAAAAATATGATGGGGTGGTAACTTACGAAGGATTAAATGAAATGGAATATTTAGATAAAGTCGTTAAAGGTGAGTTTAAACGATTTTAGGATTTTGGTGTTAATTTTATTTTTTTTAGAAACTTTACGTAAATATCCTCCTCTTCCTTTACTTAATCGAATTTGTACTCAAGATTACCACATCCCCAATTCACAATTTCTCTTAAAAAAAGGTTTAAAAATCTTTGTCCCCATCGAAAAGATTCATTATGATCCCGAATTTTATCCAAATCCCGATATATTTGATCCCGATAGATTTACAGAAGAAAACGTTAATAAAAGACCTCATTTCTCTTATTTACCATTCGGAGAAGGACCAAGAATTTGTATTGGGATGAGATTTGGAATGATGCAAACAAAAATTGGTTTGGTAGGATTAATTAAAAATTTTAAAATGAGGACTAATCCGGATACTGAAAGTATTCAAATGAATACAAGGCATATATTAAATATTCCACTTAAACCTATATGGGTTGATTTTGAAACTGTTTAATTCTGTAATATTTTGAATTTAATAAATATATTTTAATTGTAAATTATACTCTGTTTTTAAACCAGGAGGAGTAAACGCGAAAGTCAGATTTACACTAGGAAAAATCACCAGAAAATATCACTAGATATTTTGGCGGTAAATTTAAATTAATAATTATTATTATTTATTTATTTACTTATTATTGTATTTATTTTCGTTTGTTATCGTCAACACTAAACATATAAATCTTTGATTATATATAATATGGATTGAGCTAACTGAATATATCTACTAACAAAAATGTGGCTCAAGGTGAATAGACGCAGATGGAAAGCGAAATGTGAAAGTGTAACAAAGATAGACATACGGTACTAAACAGACGGGCGCATGCGCACAAAAGTGTCAAGCCTCTTCCATTTGACGTTTATCGTTTTGTTGTGTCACAGCCAGTCACACCGTTATGTTTAAAAATGTATTGTTTCGTGTGCAAAGTTCGCGATAATACAGTTTCACATCACCTGTAAGTATTATAAATGTTACTTCTAATTGATAGTTTTTTATCTTATAAATTAACGCACGCCCATTATATGTCAGTACGCTTCTATGTCTATCTCGGTTCGATCACCTTGCGCAAGCTATCTCTCTCGTTGGCTCAATCCATATTATATATAATCAAAGGATAGTACATATTTATACCTCTGTTATTTTATATATTCTGCATTGAAAATATTTATTTATTGCTTTTTTTTAAGAATGAGCATTAATTGCAAACTTTCACTTCTTTTATGGAAAAGTATAAGCGATGGTGGTGTAATGGTCAGCATAGTTGCCTTCCAAGCAGTTGATCCGGGTTCGATTCCCGGCCATCGCACTTTTTTTTTATTTAATAAACGCGAATTGAAATTTAAAAACCTTGTTATACACAT